TTCAACTGCAAGGCCCGCAAAGCATTGTAGAACCAAAAATAAATTCGCGATACAGCGAAAAATAATTATCAGCACGATGAAAAAATAATTCTCAATACTTGTATTAAAAATAATTCGCGGTACCACTAAAAAATTATTTGTGGTACGCATGAAAAATTTATTCATACAACAACATGAAAAAAGTAAACAGCCTTAATTAAAAAATAATTCATGCAGCTAAAAAAAAATAACAACACATTAAAAAAATCCTGTGTAGTGATGACAAAAATACACAACGGGTCCATAATAAATGCTGCACTGGCCGAAAAAGTCACTTGTGATGCCATTTTATTACATTAATTTTGACCAGAACGGGCCTCCATATCGGGCAACTTGTAGAAATCCCTATCTTTAACCATGTTTCAAGAGTCATAACTTGATCCCTGTTCAACCTTAGAGTACCAAGCTTGGTTAACTATGATACGGTGGCCATAATTTGCTCCAAAATGCAATATAAGTTTGAAGATAATGTTAACTGAGTCATGTGTCATGTTTTTTTCCGCCGTCCCGTGTCGAGATGAATATTTGAAATAGCGTTTAAAACAGCACGGGATGGGGGAAAAAACATGACTCTGAGTTAACATCTTCTTCAAACTTATATGGAAACATTTGCGTTAAAATCTGGATTTTGGAGCAAATTGTAGCCAACGCAGTACCGGTATACAATTCCGCGCAAGTCTGTGATAAACAGTGTACATGTTCTTTTTCCTAAACAGGGTAATAAATGAGAGGTTTGTCCTAAACAATGTATGTATTTTAGGAATTTCTTTGTCCTCAATAAGGTCAGGGTTTAAAACCCTCAGCGGCTCACCACTACCCAAATATTCAGGGTCGAGTACCACCCCACCGGGCCCTAGAGTCAGTTTGAACAACAGTAGCCTGCGAACACAGATGTATTTACGGTCGTCGCTTCTCTCTACGTCTAGGCTTTGATAAAGTCGTAAAAGCAGGGGCGTAGCATGAGGTGTTGAAGGTGTACTCACGGAAAGAAAGGTTAGACCTCCGAAGGTACTGCAAACCAGGGGGCTTTAGGGGCTCAGAAATACCATTTCCTAAGTTTTTCGCAGGACATTTTCAGTAAATAAATACGAAGGATGCAATAGTTATTTATTTTATATCTCCAGTGTTATCGGCAGGGTACGGTGTTTGTGGCAAAAAAAGGGTAAAACAGTGAGGCCATTCAGGAGGTCACAAGCAAAGGGTGAGACATCTACCCTTCTGACGGGCAAATACTTCAATAGAATGCGAAAGATGTATCAGTCATACCGATTTGATGGCAAAACTGCTCTCAGGGAATAATGAAAAATATGTATTTTCCAGATTTCAGCTGTACGCACGGGTGTACCCATGTGCGTATATGGACGCTACGCTTCTGAAAAGTAGCATAATATGCTACTGGCAGTGCTTATATATTTTTAAAATTGTGCCATTAACTGTGCTAGTTTTTGTAAACCATCAATCACTCAGATGTCACTAATCATGTATAATAAGACATTTCTCTTTCTCGAGATGAGAATTTGCGCGTAAAGAAGGGCGGGAAGGAGAAACGGGCGAGACATCTTTGCCAGCCACTCGCGTTTCGCGCCCTCCTCTGTGCGAAAAACGAAGCGCCTGAGGAGGAGGTTTTTTTCTTTAAATAATTTATTTTCAGGAGGAGGCTGTTGCTTTTACAAAGTCGAGCCTTGGCACTCATCTGAAATATTTTTAATTCTCTCGCACTAAAATGCCATGGACCCTTGCGCTTCTTCACCAACCACTCGAGTGTCGCTTGCGTTTTGCGCCCGCCCCTGTCCGAAAAACGAAGTCCCTGAGGAGGCTGTTACTTTACGAAGTCGAGCCTTGGCACTCACCTGAAATATTTTGATCTCTCTTGCATTTAAAAGTTTACTGCGTCGCCTTGCCCTCAAGACAGCAGTGGAAGGTACTCCAAGGGTCTTTCCAAACACACTGCCTGAACGCATGCGCGGAGCGATCGATCCACGTCTCAACAGAGTGGGTTGTTTTTCTTGCTGTTCCAAAATCGGGTCTGACAGCTCTCCCCTAAGGGATCCAGGGGCATTTGATAGTGTACCACAAACACTCGATCGTCGTCCAAGCAAAGGCAAAGAAGGCGCCTGAATACTGGCTCTGCGTAACTTTCGTGGCTCATGTTTGGTGGTCTCCGCTTCGATGCCTGGAAAACTGTTACTCCGTAAAGAGTTGTTCGGAGGTGTCTTTTGTGGGGAATTCGTTACGATTTGTGGTGTACTTAACTTCATGCTTCAGATATCAAATTTCTCGGGAGCCCCACAAAAAGAGGATCACTATCCATCAAAACTTTCAGCAAGAACATTGTCCGCGATTCCGTTAAGTTGACTAAAGGGCTACTGGAAAATATTCCGTGTCATTTAGTCGTGTCGTCACTGACTAAATAGGAAAAATGGCAAAGCAGAGCCTCAAATTTTTGACAAAAGGTGTTAACGAGTTGCTATAATGAGTGATCTAAGGTGAAAAGAGATAATTACTATTGTTACTTTAATTCCGATTATTTTATTCAGGCAAGCAAATTAGCAAGTTAAAATCACTTTTTGGGACGAGATGTATAGATCCCTATTTATAAGTACAAGTAATTCACAAACAAAACAACACAATGATACACAGAGGGAGCCGCCATCTTAGTTCAGCTCATATCAAAATATCTGCGGTACGAAGTTTAGCAGATATTTGTTTTCTGCACGTTCTGAATTTGGTATTTTCATTGTGTTTTTCAATGAAGTGTTCAGTAGTTACGTAATACGTGTTAATTGCGTTTCATATATAAGTTGTTGTCAGTCAGTATGTTCTTCCTTCGGGTCTGCAACGCCACACGCTACAACACTGTTCTGTTTAACATGAGTGACGCGGAGGACAGCAATGTTCGTTCTCGTCCGAACCCTGAAGTCGTAGATCCTTCCATTAGCGCTGCTATACAGGCTGCCGTTACTCGTTCTATAGGTTCTTTAACCGACAACCTTACACAGGTCATTGAATCTCGGCTTACCGATTTTGCCGAGCGTTTTTCAGAGGAAAACAGTTCGTCCGTTGAGCAAGCTGTTAAGAAGGCGCGTAGCGAGCAATACACGTGCAAGAGAAAGGGTAACCAGCAGCAGTTAGACCATTCCCTCCAGGTGCTGGACAAGCTAGACGAAGCTTCCGGCGCACTGAAGCACAAATCTTATGAAAAAGCTAAGGCTGCTTTGGAGTCAGGTACCGAATTAGTGTCCAAGCGTGTTAAAGCAATAAAGCTAGCCAACAAGAGCGAGTTTGGATGGGCGACGGTCAATGAGTATCTATCCGACGAACTCGCCTCTGACTCAGATGATGAGAAGAGAATTTACCGGGCCGAGAGGAGAGCTGAGAGAAAGGTCACTAAGGAAAAACGTCGTCGTGCCCGTTCTGGAGACAAAGGCAGTGGCTCCGCCTCTACTTCTCGGGCGACTTCGTCAAGATACGCATCCAGCGATTTAGTTTCACGCCCGGAGGCTAGACCAGCGCGTCGTTTGGGCCCCTGTTTTAAGATAAGTAGCCAGCACTTTTTCGCTTTACTATCTTTGTTTCTTTCTTCGTCGATTATGGCGTTACCCCACAGGCCATAATCCAATATTCTCAGTGATTTGCTGCATTTGTGTTTATATTTATATAGGTTAGTGCAGAATATCAAAATATCTGCGGTAAGAAGTTTAGCAGATATTTGTTTTCTGCACGTTCTGAATTTGGTATTTTCATTGTGTTTTTCAATGAAGTGTTCAGTAGTTACGTAATACGTGTTAATTGCGTTTATAAGTTGTTGTCAGTCAGTATGTTCCTTCGGGTCTGCAACGCCACACGCTACAACACTGTTCTTTTATTTTCATGTTATGGATTTTATTTTCATGTTTTTCTGTACGTGTTCCCCTTTTTTCAGTGCGGGGATTTTGGTCATTTGAGTTCCACGTGCTTGAAGCCTGCGGATTCTTCGAGGGGGAGCTCTCGACGCGATTGACTAGATGGCGACTCGTCGACCTGTGATGAAGTTGAGTGTGATTTAATTCATTTATTGTCTTGTTGTGGCGACGAGTTTAGTGCGAAAGGCGGAAGCAGTGGCGTGAAAGGTCGCTTGCAATCTTCGTTTAACTTTTGGGTCGAGACTTTAGATGCACCAGATTTTGTCCTTGATATGATTAGGCGCGGTTACAGATTGCCGTTTGCCGAGTACCCCTCGCAGTGCTTTTTGAAGAACAATAGATCAGCTCTTCAGCATCCGGAATTTGTCGCTGATGCTATTAGCGAGCTTTTAAGTAACGGCTGCATTGTTGAGCATGAATTCCCCCCATATTGTGTTAATCCTTTGACAGTCGCTGTTGGGAAGAAGCTTCGCCTGGTTATCGATCTGAGACACGTAAACAATTATTTAGTAAAACTTATATTCAAGTACGAGGACTTACGATCGCTCTCTCAAGTTCTCGATGAGGGACACTGGTTTTTCTCTTGGGACCTTAAGTCCGGTTACCACCATGTCGATATTTGTCTCGACCACCAAAAGTACCTTGGTTTCGCGTGGCCTTTTTCTGGCGTCGTCAGATATTTTTCCTTTACAGTACTGCCTTTCGGGTTAAGTAGCGCTTGCTTTTGTTTTACCAAGTTAATGCGCCCGTTAGTTAGGCGTTGGCGTTCTATGGGACACAACAGTTTCATTTATTTGGACGATGGTTTCTGGAGTCGACCAGACAAATGTTCTGCCGTGGCAGCTAGCTTAATTCAACGTAAAGAGCTCTCTTCATCTGGTCTTCTCTGTAACGAGGAAAAGTCTCACTGGGATCCAGTTCAAATTGGCGAATGGCTAGGCTTCGTTATTGATACTATTTTAATGTGTTTCCGGATTCCCGAGAAGAAAGTTCTCAAGCTTAAAGTGTATATGACACGAAATTTTTTTTTGACGTTTTTAGTTCTTCAATATGTTTAAAATATGTTTCCGAAGGATATTTTGTTCTTATGCTGTGGTAAACACAGGCTGGCAATGGCCTGCTGTTGTCCCAACCCAAGAAGCCACACAGCCATCGTATAGTCCATCTGTAGGCAACAGAACGAATAAACCTAAAACAGATCAGGAGAATCCCATTGTTAGAGACCCCTCTTATAATATTGCTCGTTTGACACGAGATGTGATGGACCTAAGAAAGAAATTTGTGAGATGTTCCATAGACAAAATAGCGGGTATTGACTCACTCGTTTTCGGACACTCCTCCGCGACGGCGATACGTCCTCCCATCCTTGGTTCTCAGTAAAGGCGCCGCTTGAACAAGAACTGCTCGGTTAGTTATGGCGTCGTAATCCTCGTGTTGTGTTATACAGCTTATTTTCTCAATCGAGCCATCAAAAACCATTTTCCCTGACGTGCTGGTTACTTCTCGGCAACAGCGAAATTCTATCGATCCAACTAATAATTCTGTTCTGCAATGTTGACAGCGACACCTGCCAAACAAAATCATGTTGAACGGCCACGGTAAGCTTGTTTTTCTTTTTCTTTGACCCAGACTTGTACGTTTGGTTGGCGATCTTTCGGAATGAAATGGGAGTTGGAGCTGAATGAATTCACTCACCAAGATTCCAAACAAACTGTTCGTTCATATCTTTCTGCTAAAGTCGAGGGAGTAAGACCGTCAACGTCTCTTTCTTCCTCGGAGTCGTCGACATCAAGTGCTTCGTCTTCAGCCGCTAGCGGTTCATCTTGGTAGGGCAAAATTTCGGAGTCCACAACTCCCCAGTCATCTTCAGAATCTTCGCTGAGTTCGTTACTTTCGTTCATATCCGATAAACCGCTTGCCTCCGAATCACTGGACATTTTTAGCCCCCGAAACACCAAGATATTGTAACAACAAAATGCAAAGCAAAGACTAGAAACATAAGCGTGGGTTTTGAGCAAGCAAATCAACTGACGTCACATTACGTCATAAGCCTTTGTATGATCCTTTACTCGTTCCCAGTCTCTAGGACATTTCTGAAGGGAAAAAAGCAGTTTTTCACCGACCAAAATCCAAGAATTTTTTTGTGAGATACATTTTTAAAGTTCAGAATTGTGAATCACACTTATCAAAGGACCAAAAACGGGCAAAAAAATTTTCGTGTCATATACACTTTAAAGGCTTGCTAGATTCTGCGATTCAGGATGGATTCTCTTCATTTCGCGAGTTAGCGAGAATAGCAGGCACTATCATTTCAGCTGCGTTAGCTGTTGGTCCAATTTCTCGTCTTTTGACCAGACAAATGTACTTCGCCATTGAAACCAGATCGGCTTGGGATGACATAATTCATTTTCCTCCGAGCCTTTTACAAGAACTGAAATTTTGGTATTGCAACATCGACTGCTTAAACGGCTATTCTATTAGGCCACCTTTAGCTACGCATACCGTTGTATTTTCTGCTGCTAGCGACGTAGCGTTCGGAGGATTTTCGGCTACTTTAGACGGCTCCGTCGTTAGCGGCATGTGGGAGAGCGAGGATATCGGCCAAAGCTCTACGTTTCGCGAGCTGAAAGCAATTTTTTACGTGTTGCTTTCGTACGTGGCTCAACTGAAACACAAGAGAGTTAAAATCTTCACTGATAATCAGGCCGCCGCCAGAATAGTTGCTATCGGAAGCTCCAAATCTCACCTCCAGGCCCTGGCTATGGATATTTTCCATCTTTGTCTTGCCAACAGCATCGTTCTCGAAGCCCAGTGGATCCCTAGGTCTCTTAATGAAAGAGCAGATCTTCTTAGCAGATTTATTGATAAAGACGACTGGTCCATCAATCCCTCGGTATTTCGACTTGTAGACGCTAAATGGGGCCCTCGCACAATTGATCGCTTTTCGTCCTATTAGAATGGCCAGCTTCCGAGGTTCAACTCTAAATTTGCTTCCCCAGGTTGCAGTGGTGTGGACGCCTTGGCTCAGGATTGGCGACATGAGAATAACTGGGTTTGCCCTCCGGTGGGTGCCATTCATGATTGTGCCTTCAGTTAGGGCTCTCTCGTCCTGCTCCGGTTACGGCACTTTGATCGTTCCACAATGGCCTTCGGCCTATTTTTGGCCTTTTTTGCACGACAACGCCTCCCAGTTCAAGTCTTTTGTTAGAGAAGTGTTTGAGCTTCCTTGTATTGAAGACCTCTTGCTGGAGGGTCCAGGACAGAAGCAGATTTACAAAGCGCGTCCGTCGGTGTTCAGCGGCTGCCCGAAATTTAAAATGTTAGCTTTGCGGATAAATTTTAGGTGAGCTTTCCCATTTTTGTCTCCCCTTACAGCTCATTTTTGTCGGTGTTTTAGGTTTATCTTTGGCAGTGTATTTTTGCCTGATTTGGCAGCTTTGTTTTGCCTGTTTTGGCAACGTATTTTTGCCTGATTTGGCGGTGTATTTTTTGCCTGGTTTGGCAGCGTCTTCTTGGCTCTGAGTTCGATGTCCGCTTCACCACGCAGTTTGCCTGTTTTGGCGCCGTCAGTTGGCCTTATTTTATGTTTTATTTTATTGGTCTACATTTGTTTTATTGAATGTTTGCTATTTTGTTGTATCTTTTACTGTTTTTTTTACAGCATTACTGGGCCCAGCCAGTTCGGCTTCCGTTTGTCGTTGTTTCTCATTACATGTCGTTTTTACGCTGTAGTACTGTCCGTGCTGCATGATTATGATGCAGCATCATATTTTCTACTGTATTATAATTTTAAATGTTTTGCCTTTTCCTGCCTACTTTTATTTTATTTTTTAGATGTTCTCCAATCCGCGATTTGGAGTGAAGCGAATTCTTTGGCCGATCCATCCTTGCGCAAGCTTGTTCCAGTCCTTCTCCATTTACAGTTTCAGTCCAAGGCTCCCTCTACCGAGCAGAAGTATAGATCTGGCTGGATCAGATGGCGTGAATGGGCAGATTCTAAGATTGGCATTTCAGTTATTCCAGCGAAGCCACTGCACATTGCTCTCTTTATCAGCGAACTTACTGCTGTTTCTATTTCTAATAATACGGGGATATCCCCTATAGAGTCAGTTGTTTATGGTATTAAGTGGGGTCATAGTCTGGCCGGTATTGTAGAATGCCCTACTGGTCACCCCCTTGTTAAGTCGTCCTTGGAGGGTGCAAGAAGGAAGCTTGCTCGTCCTGTTGACACAGTTTTAAGGATCGCTGAATATTATATTTCTAGTAGTTCGCTTGCCGTTATTCGTTTTCTTTTCGTCCTCTTGGTTGGCTTTGCTGGGTTTTTTCGTGTGGACGAAATTCGCAATTTGACAGTTAGAGATGTCTCTATTTTCAACGAGTACATGTCAGTTTTTATTCCTAAACGCAAAAATGATCAGTATAGAGAAGGGCATACGTCCTTTCTAGCTAGGTCGCATAAGGCTACTTGCCCAGTTTCTATCACCGAAAGGTTACTTAAGCTTTTCCCTTCAACTTGTGAGTCATCTTCGCCCCTCGTTAGGCGAATCGTTAAAACTAAGTCTAGGGAGTGTTTTCATGCTTCTAGAGGAGTTTCATATTCAACGTTAAGAGGTGAATTTAAGAAATTTGTTAAACCATTTGTAGGTGACATTGCTCTTTACGGCACGCACAGTATAAAGTCTGGTGCCGCCTCAAATCCTGCTTGTCGGAGTGTTTCCGCTGATCTGCTAGATATGCATGCTGGCTGGAAATGTGCCACTTCAAAGAACAGATACATTAAGCACACCGTTAGTGATTGCTTAAAAGTTGCTCAAACTATTGCTATTTAGTTTTCGTTTGTTTATTACAATTGTTTAGTTTATTAGTAGTCTTGGCGGGGGACTTAAGTCGTGCCTGGCCCGCCCCAGATTTCTTATCCCTTTTTCCCCACGGGGTTTTTTAGGTTAGGTTTTTTCTGGCCCCCCTGGCACGGCTTACTCTATTTTACATTTTCATTTCTATTTTGTACTAGTTGTTTGCATTTTCTTTAATAAAGTGGCGTTATGGCGTTACCCCACAGGCCATAATCCAATATTCTCAGTGATTTGCTGCATTTGTGTTTATATTTATATAGGTTAGTGCAGAAAGAAAGTTATGTCAAGCTCTCAAAGGGTCCTTTGAAAACTAAAGACACTTGCAAAAGCGCTCATTCTTTCAGCTTTGCCGTTTCTGACATTTATAGCTGCAGTTTTAATATTTAACTAAAAAAAAGCATGTCTGGTGTATCAGCATTAATACGCCAAACTTCGTTCAGTTAAGAAGATAGAAAATAGAATGATACGGCCCGCAAATTAGCTGTTGTTTAGTTAAACAATAATCGTAGCCATGACATAATACGGCTTATCCTCGGTGTAAGAACTTGTAAAACTCACAAGTGACGTAAAAAAGGAAACAAAGAAGTCAACAAAATAGAACCTAGGAAAACAAAAGGTACGAAACAAAGAAAACGTTCACACCTTCTTACACCGAGGTTAACTCCACAATGCAGTTCCTAATATCAGAAACAATCAACTTCGAAGAACTGTGTTGTAGCTGGAAGAACAGATAGTTGCTATGGCAACGTCGCGTGTCGTGAACAAGAATATCACTGGAAATGGTCACTGCAAAGATTCTGTCAACTTCACGAGGTTTGTGAGTACAGACAGAGACAACTGCACACATATATAACGCTATTTATTTGCTGTCGTTACAAATAATTCATTGCAAGGCCTAGTATTCTTAGAGACACAGATCGACGTATTATGGCAAGACCAAAAACTCGCGAGAAAAATACAGTTACACTTTGTCACTAAAACACATCCTCGACCCCTTTCAGAAAAAGAAGTTCACGGAAAAACTTAAGGATTAGCTGTCGGTGGAATATCTCGCATACCACCTCAAGAAACGTTTCAGTAGAAAACTACGAATCATTTTCCAAGCAGCCTACGAAGATGTCTTTTCGTCTTCATGTTGTACACGAGACCCGATAACTACTGCCCGCCAAACATATTACCAAAAGGCATACCACCCGGAAACCCGGCTCCGCTCCCGGGCGGAGGGCCGGATCCCGCGGGACCGAACTTCTTGGCCAGTTTATCAAGAATCTTTTTCACTTTAGGATTGTCTTCGTATTTTGAGAGGTTCGCTGGATTTTGGCTGACATCTTGAAATGCTGCCATTACTTCGGGATCCTGAAAGCAGAAGAAACCAGAATTTCAAGTGTGTCCATCTGCAGCGAACACAAGAAAACAAACAAACGAAAAAAAGACAAAGATCGGATTGTACTGTCACTATAAGTACATAATGGCGGTTTTAAATTTCTAGTCCAAATCAGGACCGTGCGTCCACCACGTTTACACTTCGTACAACGGAAGGTTTTGAGGAAGGCTGGAGGCGCACGTACACTGTATAGCGTACGGCAAGCCACGAAACCCCAACAGTGATAAGAGGCTTGAGGTAACATTGCTACCTTAGCAAGAATTCGCATGGAGCAAGGTACACCTTCGGAACGAAAAAGTCCGAGTAGTGCTAACTACCCGCTCCCCCCCACCCCGACGGGGGAAGGTTATTGTTTAAAAGGTGGGCGGTGCTATCCACTGCATAACGTAATTGGCTGCCACAACACCTATAAGTTATAGTGATTCACCCGGAGAGGGTGATAAAGCTATCCAAATCTTGAACAACCGGAACCAGCTGGAGTTTGCTTTCTTTGCTAAACCCAACGAAATTCGGAGTCCAGGATCCAGTTTCTGGGCCGGGTTGTTCAAAGCTGGGTTAAGATAACCCACGCTTAGCGCGAAATTCGAATTCAGATATGAAGGATTCAGAAACAAATTCTGTTTACTTCTTTTTCTCTTCATTTTGATGCTCTAAAGAGAACAGAGGAAAATACGGTCGACTCCCGGTAACTCGAACCCTCTATAACTCGAACCTCCGGTTAACTCGAAGTAATTTTCATTTCCCTTCAGATAATTTTTTCCACATAATTTTACCCTCGATAACTCGAACTCCCGATAACTCGAGCTTTTTTCTATTTTCCTTAAAGGTTCGAATTATCGGGAGTCGACTGTATTTGAGAAAATGCTTGTGAACAAAAGTAAAAGAAACCCGGACTAGAATTAACCCCGAGTTGGCGCCAATCGGCCTTCGAACAACTGACCCCAGATATCTGTTGTAGTTAATTTTTTTATCTCAGTTAATTTTCATTTTTCTATTGTTTTTGGGTATGGTAATGTTGCTAGTGAATTTGAAACAAAGGAAAAATAAAAATTAACTGAAATAAAATATTATTATTAACTGCAACAAATATTATAAATATTACTATTAACTGCAACATATCCAAACACGACAAATAAACAAAATCTCCACACTCAGCGAAAATGGATTTGATCACGACAAACCTGAAATGCTTCTAACAGCTCTGGATCGCTTAAAAGGTCATTTAAGTTGGGTGTTGCACCACCTGAGAAAGAAAAAAAGAGTCACAATTTCAGCAATCAGACTTAGAGTCCACATGTTCCTTCTTGACCTAGCTGCGCTTTCTGCGAGGAGCAAGTGAAACTAACTGTGATACCCACAGCCGCTGATGAAATATAGCTTTCCATTTCTGAGGTCAATGAATACCCAGAGCTCACTTTCTTAAGCAGATTTGAATTTCCCGGGGTCACACAATAGTATCAGCCTTGTAAAAAAAACGTTAAGAAGTAGGGCTTTGTCATAGGTGTTCGTCATTTTTTTCCCCCGGTGGTAGATGTATACGATCTTTTGTGTCGTCTGTACAGTTTAGAAACGTGAAGGGGTTGGGAAACAGCAGTTTTTAAATACCTCCTGCTCCTCCAGTACCAGTGAATCCCCCAGCGCCCCCGGGGAATCCTCCTGCACCACCAGGGAAGCCCCCAGGGAATCCTGCCGCACCGCCGGGGAAACCACCAGGAAAGCCCCCTGGGAAGCCACCAGGCATCTCTTGTTGTCGCTTTTGTCTTTCTTCTTCTTCCTGTAAAGTGTGGATATTCAAAATGGAAAAGCAACCGTCAGAACTTGTTAAAAAACAGACAATAACGTTAATGCTCATCTGAATTTACCTTTCTTGCTTTTGCTTGCGCTTCTTTCGCTTTTTTTCTAAAATGGAAAGAAAAACGTTCCACGTATTTTTAGTAAATCATGCCATCGATACACCACAGTAATTGCGGGTGGTTCTGGTGTGAAGGGAGTGATAAAGGCAAAGTTTATCTTGGTCAAACCACTCTACAAAGGCCACCTTGAGACGGATGAAGGTTATTGTCTAATGTAACAAATATGTTTAGGGAATATTGACACATAATATCAAGTCAATGAAACAGTGGGCTGCAAAACAGCCTGTATTTTCCGTTGGTCAAGAATGCGCGAATAGGAAAGGACTGGAGCCGAAAATGCTAGTCTCCAGTATGCAGCCGTCGTTGGATGAGGTTCGAATGCAAAATCAAATTTCAACCCTCCCCCCTCCTCCCTCAAAAAAAAAATTAAACACGACATTTACATAACTAAAAGTGCGAGGGCATTCTTACATTCTATCCATTCGTTCCTCTTCTTCTTTGTCTTCCCGTTTTCTTTCATATTTTCTTCGGTGCTCGGCAAGAAGGTGTGCCTGGGAACACAATATGCAAAAAAAGCATTAAAAAAAGATAGAGCAACAAAGGCTGTTGGCTGATTGACATTCACACCAAATTATTCTGAAGTTTTAAAAAGAAACAAATCATTGCGGGGACTTTTACATGTACAACCATCCTGCATGTTTAGTAAGGATATACCACATTTATGGTGCAAAAAAAGATAGCTTAGTCTTCTAGTCATGGAGGCAATGACCAAGAAAATGGCACCAAAAGGAGTAAAACGGACTTCTGCTCCTTCAAACTTCTTTACATAACAGTCATAAAATGAAGTAGTTGAGGGGGAATTGTCCCTATATTGAGGCAAAATTTTGCCTTCAGACTGTATTCTAGCTTTAAAGGTCGTAGTAATTTGGCATCAACCATTATTGTTGTATTAGACTCGTAAACAACATTTTGGGTTTTGCTGTTTATCTCTTTCTGGACTGAATAGTGACATGAAAATTTCCCAACTACAAGAATGGTTTCATATTCAAATTGTTGATCACCTGGACGTTTGAATTTCTGCACTACTGTATTTACCCTAGAACTGCCAAGTCCAGATAATCAAGGTTCCACAACAGTTATTAGTTATTCCCTCCATGTTTGTATGAGATCTCTGTACATATAATAATTATATGTCAACGCACAAAGATGGAGAACAAAAATGAAAATAATTGTCGAACTTATGATGTCCTTATGGTTACTAGACGTCCTGATGCTCTTACTACCCCTAGGCCAGAAGGACATCATAGGTTTGACTCCTCTTTCTCATTTATTAACCAGGCTGAAAATTCACCATCAGATTTCTATCAATGCCACTCATAATCACAAATAATGACTGTACCTTAGGAGTGACTTCTTTAAGCCACTCATTAGCTTGATCATCATAGTCAAGTTTGCAGGCCATGCCAAGATCCTTAGCAGCCTCTTCCCAGTGACCCAAGAGTCTACAAGAACAAAAAATTCATTTATGGGCAGATGAAAGAAAAGAAAATACAGCTAGTAAAAAGCAAGAACTTTAAGAAACTTCTAACGAAATGTTTAAGCCCTCAAGGTAACAGTAGGTTCCTCTATTTTTAAACAACAGCACCTTTAATTCAACAGTGGCTTTAACTCAAATTTTAGTATAACTGATGAAAAGAAGTGCAAGCACAATAACCTGTGGGCCCGTCCTCTCCACTTGTAAGGTTGGGCGGAGTCTGGGTTGATCTTGATTGCTTCATTACAGTCTCTGATCGCTGCATTTGGCTTCTGCATTCGAATAAAACAGCTGGAAAAGGTTTGGAGCAAAAGAATAATAATAATAATAATAATAATTTAACTAATTATTGGTCAAAGTGTAAAATGAAGAGAAATGGAAAAATTGAATGTCCAAAATACACAAAGAACACTTTTAATACTACACCTTGCTCGTTTAGCATACATGCTGGCAGTTGTAGGATGTTTTAAAATGGCTTCTGTGAATAGTTTAGCTGCTTCTTCAAGATTTCCTATTCAAAAATAAAAATTATTATTATCACACAACAGACAGAACAAATGAGAAGTATAGCTGAAACATCCACTACACATAAACATAAGAATTTTGCCCTCCAATAAAGACCAAATTTAAAGAAAATAAACCTCTTATATAACTAACAGCCTGTGTTCCACCAGGCAGAGGCTTCTTAAAAAAACTTTCTATCACTTCAAACCTTCACTCATGGCAGCCATTCCTTGACTTCTTTTTTCAGATGCCTCTTCTCTCATCTCATCAGTAACCTGGGAAGAAAAAATCATATCAGTAATTTGGTTTATTGCAGATAGAAATTATTTCATTCCTAAATTTATGATATTATTGATTTGAGAAACTAACATCAGAAAATTAATTAATAAGATAAAGCAGTTATTGATTCACAACAAACTGTTCCCACATGACTATAGTTGTGGTATTGTCAATGAAAGCTGTAATTCATTAAACATGCACACAAGTTGGTTCTAACTTCGAATGACTGTGCTTGTAATATTTAACTGCATGTCTCAGTTCTTCATAACTGTCATAACCTTGACTAATAAAAAAATTTGGATGCTAAAACAGCACCCAGAATGTTTCAATAGTAGAATAGGTCTGGTTCGAAAATCCGCCTGCTGTGACTACACAGAACACAGAACTAGACAAAGTTTCATTTTAGACTGATAACTCACACTCATCATATACAGCACACTTAAAAAAATGTTGCTGTGTCAAACTCTTATGCGGCAGCCAACAGCAATGTACTAGAAAACCAAACTGCCTAACCAAACTGAGATTCAAACACTACTCTTCTGTGGCCCTACCTAATTCAACAATCAATAATTTAGGTTCAGCACATCAGCAGGATAGCATATTTTGAACAAAACTTTGATATTAACTACACTCTGTTAAGCATGTATTTTGAGGTTGATGTAAGGTGGTAGTACATGCATGAGATTACTAGGTGAATTTTGCAAGAATTTTATTGTTAATTATTCATTAAGTAACTCATTATTTACTTCAATGCTTGCATCTCCCATCTGCTGAGGTTCATCATTGTCTGGCTCAATACATCCCTCCCTGTCAATCTCTGTTAAAATAATTATGTTAAAATACAGTATTATTATAAAAACAATTTGGTACAGTTTAAAATTTACAAACAGATGCTTATGTAGCAATATAATTAAACCTTAACTACAGGCTAGAGGTAAAGAAGAGGGCATAAGTAAATCATTTTATAAGTCAAAATCAGTAAATTAAACATTTCTTTATTTATTTACCACTAGCTGACTGAAAAAATAACCTATAAAATAAACAAATAAATGAATGAAAAAGTATCACAATTCAACAAAATGGTTATAATGCATTTAACCAATCCAGATCGAATTTGTATTTGGAAATGTTGGTTTTTCAGGAGAGGGGAAACAAGAATTCTTGGAGAATAACCCTCTCTGAATAAAGGTGGAAACCAACAACAAACATAATTGATGGTATCATTATTGCAAGGCTGTGCTTTAAGAAAAATTGGAAGGAGCTCAGTGCTTTGAGCCTGTCAAATCCAGGGCCAGGTGCAGTGCCCATCATATGAAAAAAATAATATTTAATCTTTTTTTATCTGCCCAGGGAGCAATTAGATACAGTGTAGGTGTCCATGTGCCACCAGGCACTACTAAACTGCACAGCCTTTTATTGCTTCTGGGATTTGAACCAGGGCCACATTAATGGAATGCTCATTAAGTCTACATGAATTAAAGGAAACGAAGGAACCCTCCTTGATTGAAAGAAGGTGAAATCCTAAGAAAGCCCTTTCAAATTATTGCTACGCTGAACAGCCACATGACAAGTTACAGAATATTGTGCTTTGAATTCTTAATCAGTCCTGTACATATACATTGTACATGTAGAAATATTAAAGCCTAACTGACTTCACACACTGACCCACATCACTCTCTTCACTTGAACTCTCCATTGCCTCTTCTGTTGGTGCCTCCTAAGAACAATTCAGTTTATAAAAGATTTTACATGCATGAAGCCTACAAAAATACTGCCATGCTTCTTTAAGGATAATATAATTTCATTAACGTCTGTTAATGATAATTCAATAATTTTTGAAGTGACATTCAGATCCATTTATCAGGGCTTCTGATATTACTGTATACATGTACGGTAGGTGCACACAATTGACCAATAATTATTCCACAAGAAATATCATTAATGAATAATAAAAAAATTGCATAATCTCGGGGAGTAAACTAATTTAAGACATAATTTTAGGCTGATAAACTACTGTGAACCTTCAATGCTAAATCAACTAAATCATGCTACATCATCTCTTGGAAAATTGAATCATTTGCTCCTGCACCCACACAATTCACTAAAATCTACCGCGCAAAATTTTGCATAGGAATTGTCTTCAATTTCTCATGGGATGACTGCAATACACAGGAGAAATTGGAGACAAAAGCTATATGGAAAATGTATTGGGGAAAACAAGGTGTATAATTATGGGCATTTGCAAAAATGGTGAATAAAAATTTTGACAAAAAATGGGACACCCTGGAAATGTTGCATACCATTGCATGGTATTTACTTGAATAAGGGCTGCAATGCTTAGTAAATTTTTTATCCCTCAAACGGAGCAGTTATTCGAGGGCAGCACTTATTTGAATGCAACATTATTTTATTTGAAAGTTACATGCAACAAAGAATTGTCTCATGTAAATGGTATTATCACTTTTAGTATTAAACTGACAGAATAAACATCTTACTTTGATTTTGATTGCACAGGGGCCACAGCACTAAGTCACTTATTCAGGGGCAGCACTTAACACCTTTTTTTGTACCAAATGTGACACTTACTCAAGTAAAGACGGTGTTTCCCCAAATTTTTTTCCACTCTATCAGGAGGTTTAAATTAGCTGTTACCTCTTTAGGCTCTGGCTCGGTCACTGGTTCATCTTTTTCTGGGGTTTTTACTTCTTCAGTTGGTTCAGGTTCTTTTGGTTTCTCTGGTGGTGGAGGGATATTGGCACCCAAACTACAATACGATAATTTGAATGAAAGAAACGAAAGGTGCTTTAATTAACTCCCCTTTTTTCAATTCTACACAGAGCAGCCACACCATTGAATTGCTATTAAACTGCCCTAAAATGAGCAACTAGGGAGCAATGGAGCTGCTCATGTCTAGGTTAGTGTGGTAAAAATAAAACTCAACCCCTTTGAAAAAATAAAATCATTCATCAAAAGGGATCCGTCAGGTATTTTATACATGTGGCAAAATTGTCAATCTTCACATTGCAAAAATGAAAGTCATTATGCATCAGTCCATTCCATTTGCAGCCAGCTTGGGAATGGTCCTGGGCAGTGCAAAATTTGCAAACGCCCCACCCCCAGGACTGACATGGCTGAGCGCAGGTGGAATTGACTGATGCATTATCTCCTTCCTTTGTCAAACTTGAGATCAAATGACCCATTTTGGAAACTCACGATTATGTAAATCTCTAAAAGAGGAGAGGAGCTATTAAAAAAATCCATTGAAAGCTCGAAAAATTCAAAACGCCAAACAATGACTTTGACAACCCACCATACCCCCACCCCTAGAGATCGGTTACTTCCGCTTTCTTGCGAGCTTGCACCAGGAGCTCTGTGTTGATTTTATCCAAGAGGGAACAAATGTATTGCTTAAAGTCGACTCTCCTAAGTTTCATCACAATATTTCAGACAAAATAATATATACATAAAGATCGTACGCTAAGTAAAATAACTCTGCTTATGTTTAACCATATTTTACGTTTTGATCAGCCCTTTGGCCTCAAATAGTCACGTACACTAGAACCAAATTTAAATAAAATCATTAAAACCATGATAGCGACAACAACATAGATCCCTTATTAACTGAATTGTTTCCCTGTATTGCCCTTCTTATAAAACGTGAGGGTCTTTTCACACACAAGGTACAACATCCATGTTGGTGCAAGAACACTTCATCACAAAAGAGAGCAAAGAGAGGCACGTGCCTACATCGCTTCTCGCTTCTTTCCTACCTCTCAAGCCAGTCCCTAAAAAACTTCAGCTGAGGAGCATGTAGTAGTTCTGGCTTTTCCTTACATAAATCCACGAACTGCTTAAGCAAAGAGAGCTGGAAATTATCAAACTTTGAGGCCATCTTCGCCTCCAAGAGCGTAACGCCTTCACTTCGCTTACTAAGTTGGGTTAAAAGCTATCCCATGATCCTTTGCGCGTGGCCTGTAACTTCGTGTACGTTTGTACAACGCTTCCTTTTGGTAAAACTTTCGAGATCCGTCACTGTAACAAAAGCTTTTTTGGGGCGACGCAAGGAGAACCGTCACATTCCGCAACACTTCATCATCTCGCCTTTTATTGTCTGTCGAACAGCAAGGTAGCCTGAATTGCAGACATTAATTCGAGTCCTTTCTCCCTCGGGAGAAAACAGTGTGTAGGCTACCCGTGGGCTATATCTCGGAAGTATACAGTTGGTGCCACTGATGAGCAGATGAGTAAAACGTGTTTCACCGTGTCTCTGAACAAGGGGGTTTCCGTGAGCTTTACTGTTATCAATAAACGAACCAATAAGAATTTTAATATTGGTCATAAAAAAGTTGACCATAATTTTTTTTTAGCGAAGAAGCTTGTTCGGCCTTCGTGACTTGCATTGTCTCGTAACTGAGGGTTCAGGCGTAGTACGGTGGCCCAGTAGGGTCACACATGCAAATTAAAAATGTTGCTGCAAATTAAAAATAGTACATGCAAATTAAAAATTTTTCATGCAAACTAAAAATATTACCTGCAAATTAAATATAGTACATGCAAACTAAAAATTGTGCTGCAAATTGAAAATAGAAAACATATCGATGCAAATTAAAAATGAAAAGTCCTGCACGCGCAGTATGAGTGATGAGGACCTGGTCCGAGCCGTGCGACCTGGCTTACTGCCGTCGGCCCATTCATGTTTCATCTTTGTAATAGTTTGCGTGTACAATTTTTAATTTGCATATCCTATTTTTAATTTAATTTGCAAGTAAAATTTTAGTTTGCAGCAACATTTTTAATTTGCATGTGTGACCCTTCTGGGCCACCGTATTCAGGGGCACCCAACGACTGTTTTCTAGGAAACTAATCTGTTCGGAGAAGCAAAAATTGCCTAGAATTTTCTATTGCTTGAGGAAGGCTAAAACGTTTGAGATGACTGTTTCATTTATATTCATGTACAATTTTCGAGGCTTATCTAACTACGATTATCTGAAGTTTAATTTTTCCCATTTCACTCCCCTGGTTAGGCTATTTTTCGTGAAACCTAAAATTTTCGGAATCGAAAATGCGATGCAGAGAGGTAACAGCAGTATCAGAAAAACTATCACTTTAAATTGCAGCTAGAATCGCATAATTAAGTAAAATCTCGCATTCTGATTGGTTAACGAAGCGAGGTATTTAGTGTGGAATTGCGAGTTGAAAACGAGGCTAAGCGATATTGTTTCGCATCTACGTAACAACTATCGTCAAATTCTAACACAACAACATGCAAAAAAGGTTTTCTACAATGTCATTTTAAAATGTTTTCAAAACCATTCATTGTCACTTTTTGAAGAGTTTTAAACTAACAAAAGCGTTTTTTAAAGTGAGCCGGAGGTTCTTCCTTGTTTTGAACTGAACTACAGATTCTCGAAGAGACATAAAACCTCTTTCACTCGCGACAACCAGAAAACAAGAAAATCCTGTGAACACGGCCCAGAAAATGGCAATCCAAAGTTCAACCAAACAAAACGGAGAAGCGACAACGGAGGAAGTGCCGGGGTCGATTGTCCCATATACAGAAGAAGAAATAAATACCTTCAAAGAGGACATGGCTCCTGAAAACACGAAAAAGAGTACGCCGCTTGCAATCGTCCTGAATCGTGGTACTCAGAAAAGTACAAAACAGAGCTGAACTTGAACAGCATTTCTAAAACATTTCAAGGTACTTACCTTATGTCAATCGCGACGTTAAACATGTTAAACTTTCAGTGCTTTCGCTTGGACACTTCATTTCTTTCAGTTTTGCCGCCGAAGAGGTAAAAGGTGTAAATTATTTTCCTTCTCGAGCAAATGACCAATTTGAAAAAAGACGTTCTACATAAACGGCTTCTAAATTCAGTAAAATACCTCTACTTATCCTTACGATTAGTGTGAAGCTTGTTTACATGTAAAAAAGTTTGAAAACAAAAGTGAAAACAAGCACAAGGTACAAAAAAAGTTGTCGAAGGTTCAAACGTGTACGACTGACCTTGCTTCCTATTCGCTAACGCAATGACAGTTCTGACAGTTGACTTTGAAATGGCTTTCTGGAGCGCGCGCTCAGGATAAAAACAAACAATATTATTGCTGTTTTCTTTTTTTTTCTTCTGATTTTTATTCAATTATGCGATTCAAGGAAAATTCATTACCTGACGAGGGAATTCCACGTTAAATTGCACTTGAAAACCAGAAAACCAGTGCAATTTAACGTGGAATTCCCTCGTCAGGTAATGAATTTTCCTTGAATCGCATAATTGAGTAAAATCTCACATTCTGATTGGTTAACGAAGCGAGGTATTTAGTGTGGAATTGCGAGTTGAAAACGAGGCTAAGCAATACGTAACAACTATCGTCAAATTCTAACACAACAACTGCAAAAAAGGTTTTCTACAATGTCATATTAAAATGTTTTCAAAACCATTGTCACCTTTTGAAGAGTTAAAAACAAACAAAAGCGTTTTTTATAGTGAGCCGGAGGTTCTTCCTTGTTTTGAACTGAACTACAAATTCTCGAAGAGGCATAAAAAACCTCTTTCGCTCGCGACAACGAGAAAACAAGAAAATCTTGTGAACACGGCCCAGAAAATGGCAAGCCAAAGTTCAACCAAACAAAACGGAGAAGCGACATCGGAGGAAGTGCCGGGGTCGATTGTCACATATACAGGAGAAGAAATAAATACCTTCAAAGACGACATGGCCCCTCAGTGAAAACACGAAAAAGAGTACGCCGCTTGCAATCGTCCGTCCTGAATCGTGATACTTAGAAAAGTACAAAACAGAGCTGAACTTGAACAGCATTTCTAAAACATTTCAAGATACTTACCATATATTAATCGTGACGTTAAACTTTCAGTGCTTTCGCTTGGACACTTCATTTCTTTCAGTTTTGCCGCCGAAGAGGTAAAAGGTGTAAATTATTTTCCTTCTCGAGCAAATGACCAATTTGAAAAATGATGTTATAGATAAACGGCTTGTAAATTCAGTGAATACCTCTATTTATCCTTACGATTAGTGTGAAGCTTGTTTACATGTAAAAAAGTTTGAAAACAAACGTAAAAACAAGCACAAGGTACAAAAAAAGTTGTCGAAGGTTCAAACGTGTACGACGACTGACCTTGCTTCCTATTCGCTAACGCAATGACAGCTCTGACAGTTGACTTTGAAATGGCTTTCTGAAGCGCGCGCTCAGGATAAAAACAAACAATATTATTGCTGTTTTCTTTTTTTTCTGATTTTTATTCAGTTATGCGATTCAAGGAAAATCCAATAGGAAACCTTCGTTGGGTGCCCCTGAGGGCTCCGATCCCTTACAACCTTTTTTGTCATCTTGAAAAGTGTTTCAGAGGCCGAAAATGACAAGTGTACAACTTTTTCGAAAAAAAAATAGATTTTTCTTCTTCAGATCTCCGTTAACTGCAGTGGATTGCAAATAACCGTTACAGCCGCTGAAAAGCCAAGAAAATACTCAACTGCTATGTGAAAAAAAAAACGTAAATTTTATTACCTTAGCGGTGTTGTGTTAGAAACGGTTAGTTACAAAGGCTTGTGTGGGTGTTAACGGTTTTTCTTAAAAGAGAGAAAAAATGTTATGTTTTTAAATAAAATCGACGTACCTTATTGCCTTGTTGTATTCTTTGTTGTTTGCCCGCGTCTGAGGCCGTTTTGAAGCCGGTTTTCGGCGAGTTAGCGCTATTTTGGTGTTCCACTGTTAAGAGCAATGGAACACCAAAAATAGTTATCGCGAAAAATTCACTGCTGAATGCAGGAATGTCGATTTGAATTTGATACTACTTGCAGCAGCGACTTACTGAGCTGGGCTGGGTTGACTTTAACCTGTACAGAGAAGTGCTGTGTGACAAGCAGCGAATCCGGTTATTTCTTTTCAGTTAAACTATAATTAAATTTGACTTCAGTTAACCTTCGTTTTTTAAGTCGTCGTTTTCTAGGTTGTCGCTTTCTAGGTCGTAAACACCGTTGAAATTCAGTCTACCAGTATGGCGAATAATAATAATTATAAAAGTAAATTATAATTATCGGAAAAATTATCCCAGAATCGGTCTTTGAGGCAATTTTTTTGCAAGCTTTATAACTTTGACAATTTGATATGTAGAAGAATGTCAGACCACAACAAGATAACATCTGCCATAAAATATCTTCTCATGTCACACCTAGGGTGATGACGTCATCAGTCACGTGACCATTGCTGAATCAGGCTTTTTTGTTGCTGTGACAAGATTTCATCATTAAAATAAAATTAGATAGCATATTTGAGGGTTTGGTTGTGTGGAGCAGTTAAAAATAACCAGTTTACTTCCGGAATTTAAAATTTAAGGGGGCAAAGAACATGAGGGAAAAAGTCGGGAAACTAGGCCAAGGGCTGTAGAGAGTTGACGTTTCATCACACGCGGCAGAGGAAATTTGCAGGAAAGTAGTGTTCTACCTGACAGTTTTTTTCTTACCAAAAGAGGGACATGACGTCATCAGTGACGTGATCAGAGCGTTTTCAATATTTTAGTTCGTTTGTAAAGTACATTTTTCGCCATAAATCTGCAAGTTTTTGTTGTCTTCCTCTACAAATCTTTAAACTTTATTACCCCTGAGTAATTATTATTCCATTTTCAAAGCAGAAGCAAACTAAAACTGAGCTAGAAATTAAAAGTTGCGTAAATCGACCGATATTGCAAATTAAAATCGAAAAGGAGACCTACTTTTGAGACTTTTGTAAAATCCTTTTTCAACCGTTAACTGTTTGTTTGCCGAAATAAATGTTCAAAGAACTTTCAAAGCTTTAAGGATGTATTTGGCGGCCATATTGGTTTTCTTCATTCTGAGGAGAGAGATCATGTAGCAGTTCTTCTAACCCTAAAAGCCAAATGGTTTGCTACCCTAACCTAAAAAAATGGAAATAATGATAAACAATGTTGTGTTAATGTTTTCCCGACCTATGAAAAGACACCTTACGAACAGGGAGAGAATCGTACGGTCATACTGTTCAGTGGGTGGCCACGAGATCGATAGTTCATAAATTTCTAAACGTTCCCCGGCATGGATTAAGCGTGAAAGAGTGTTAATGCGTTTATTGTGAGCTTTACGTCTGGTCTCGATCAGTTAAAGATTTAATCATACACGGAAACCGAAAAAGTCATCCTTGAAAACTGTCAATCACCATAGAGAAGGAACATATACCTCTTTTAAACTTATAATAATAATAATAATAATAATCATCATCATCATCATCATCATTATAATCATAAAGATCATGATATCGAAATTACAGACAAATGGTACGAGCACAAGCCAGAGACTGTAATGCACAATAAAGGCAACAACATCACCATGATCATGTGAGACATGCCAGTCAATAATGTTAGAACTATAACAGCGAACAGACCAGACATCATCGTTAAAGATTCAGTGAATTCCACCTGCTGTTTGATCATATAAAAAACTCTGAATCTGCTTCTACGTTAAGCAACGTTTCAAAACTTTTCTTTTTAGGAACCACTACTATACAGTTATACTAGTTTCATTTAGACTTTATTTACTATTGTAAGCGCATTGAGAATTCTTTAAATGCGCCATAAAGACCCATTATTATTATTATTATTATGCGCAAGCCTGAATTTAAGTAGTAACTTTTTATCAGTTTGAATTATTATTTTTAAATAGTTTTATTTTTTTTGTCAACTTTTTTATGCTTTTTATAATTGTTATTAGTAGTCTTTAGATAGTCATTTTACGACAATTCTCTTTCGTACACAAGAAGAATGTACATAGGGTATATATTTTAATATTTCATATTCTTGAATTTGTAAATAGTCTGTTTTTTTAAATCTATGAATAAAGTTTTGTATCTTTTAAAAAATATATATATTATTATTATTATCATTATTATTATTATTATTATTATTATTATTATTATTATTATTATTATTATGACTATTCCATCCGATAGGAACATCGCACTGCAGGAAATCGAAAAGAAAAGCAAGTACAAATACCTAGAACTAGAAATACAGAGAATGTGGCAGATGAAAACCGAAGTGATCCCTGTGGTTTTTGGTGCGCTTGGTACAGTAAAGGAGGGGATGGTAGAAAACATCAAGAAAGTATCAGAGAGAGCTACTGTGACAGAGACCCAAAAGATCCGCTTGCTGGGATTTGCACAAATCCTCAGGAAGGTGCTAAGTAGTGTATGAACAGAATGATTAACTTGATGACTTGAGTGACTGATGGTCCAGGTGCATGGTTTGCGCCCGGCTGATGCACAAAAAGAACACCAGCAAAGATTGACAGAAGAGACAATTATAATAATAATAATAATAATAATAACAACAACAACAACAACAACAATAACAATGACAATAATGATGATGACGATAATAATAATAATGCTAACAACGACAACAACACACGTGTTTGCTTTTCTGCACTTCGGACGCAAATTTGGATCCCGGTGTTGTTTAGCAACGAGAAGACTTAACCATCTCCTACAAAAGGCGAAAAATGTCGACAAAGGACCGCAAACGGAAATGCTGTGATGCACGCGAAGCGGGGGAGCTAAAAAATAGGAGCCACAGCGGTATTTTTGAAACCTCTGTGGAACCGTTAACTCCAAGAGAGCACTCTTACCAAGAGAGCGTGGTACGTAACCAATCAACAGTTTTGAAACAAAGTGTTGACAGGCTAAACACAAATCCTAAGTTACTATAACTAACAAAGTCGAACATACAACAAATTTCGCCGGAACATTCATTCTAAAGTAGACTTTTACCATTGTCACGTCGAAATTACCACAAAATTTACAAATAAAAATATCACAATTTGTTAAATGAATTCTTCTTGCTCTAAAGAACCGGAATTAAAAAAATATATATCTATTAAGAAGTTATTCCCTGTAAAATCAAGGACAAATGCTATAGTTTCTCTACCTTTTAGAAAGGTGACATGATGTAGTTTAGCTCAATTAAACCATAAAATAATCATGAGTCTCAAGTCTGCCATTATCAGGGAGAGTAATTTAAAAACCTTGCCACGTGATCACTGGTATAGAGAGGGGTATTGAAAACAACAAAACTACTAAAAAGTGGATTAAAATGGGCAAATTCACAAATTTCATTGCAGTTTGAAAAACGGTTTTAAAACGTTCTTCCAAGGGATTTTAAACTGCCGCCTGGTTAGCTCAGTTGGGAGAGCGCCGGTCTACTGAGCGGGAGGTCGCGGGTTCAAACCCCGGCCGGACCAACACTCAGGGTCTTTAAATAACTGAGGAGAAAGTGCTGCCTTTGTAATAATATCTGCAAACGGCTAGACTTTCTAGTCTTCTCGGATAAGGACGATAAACCGTAGGCCCCGTCTCACAAGCCCTTGCACATGTATTAAATGTGTGGGACGTTAAAGAACCCACACACTCTTCGTAAAGAGTAGGGCACGTAGTGCCCGGTGTAGTGGTCTATCTCACTTTCACACTCATGTATGCGGGCATCATTACTCATTCCTTCATTACTTGTAAACTGCACCTTAAGCAGTCTGGCAAAGTCCCCCAACCAGTGTTGTAAATTATCCCTGAAAAGCCCTGAGGGGAGTGGATGATAAGATATTTACAATTACAAATTACAGTTACAAACTTGCCTAAACTGTACTCTTTCGCAAATGGACAAACACAGGGAAACCCGGGAAAAAGCACTAATCACTGAAACTCCTAGCCTTCCACGCGGGCGTTTTTAGGGTAGCTCGTATTTCGTCCCTGCCCACAAACGCCTACAAAACTCCTTTCCCATTCTTTTATTCCCGAGGTAAGTAACCAATATACAGGTTTGAAACAAAGTGTTGACAGGCTAAACACAACTCCTAAGCTCGCGGTAGTGTAAAAACGTGACCCTAAGAGTTACTTTTTTCCTTCTTTCGCAAAGGTTATGCAGTGCACGGAGTATTCTAAAATCTGACTAAATCTTACTTTTGCCGCTCTGAGTCATATTACAGGTCATAAAGCTTTCCCAGTGTTTCATGCAGATCGAGTAATTATCGGATTACCCTGCGGTCAAGGTCAACCTTCCAGAATTTGGAAGGTAGGATGTGATTGGCTAAGCTTGGGAAAGGAATGTTGTCTTCGGTTGAGCTGGCGTTTGTGGGGAGGGACGAAATTCGAGCTCCCCTAAAAACACCTGCGTGGGAGGCTAGGAGACTCCATACGTATATTTAAAAAAACTCCGAATCTTTACAAATTGAAAACCAACTTCAACAAGAAACACTATCCAAAGAGCTCCAAAATTCAAGAGCAGAGACCGATATTAAAACTGGTTTACGCCAAAAAATCTCTATGTCTCCCTCCCAGATTCACAATACCGGAATAGAAGATACCTGCAGAATGCTATATAACCTATACAAAGAGCGGTTTTTACTTGACATACCAATTTCAAAAAAACCTACTCTGGCCAAGCTAAACCGAGCAGTTAATCTGATAGGTCAAAATCCTAAAGAAAGCACGTTTTCACCATACCCTCCTCCGCTACTTAATTGACCAATCAGATCAATAACCACAGTTTTATACCATCCACTGCAACTGACATGATACAACTCTTTTGACTCTGAAGATGACTATACCGCACAGGTTGTCGAAACGTCAGTCACTGTCAACAACAGTCCTATTCAGGACTACGCTCACCCGGACGATCATCAAACTCAACCTACTTATGAAATCACTCCTGGGTTCAAACTTTTCACAAAATAAACAGCAATTAATTTAACGATCACATCCTCAGACAACCAAAACGTAGCTAATTGATTCTAAAGTGCATAGACAGACGGAGATGAAAGTGGAGATACAAAGAAAGGAATTTTTCCTTTTTCCTCTGAAACTGTTTCTGCTTCCTTTACGTCCGTTGCCTACGCCTCAGGATAAATCAAACCGACAGAGGAGGAAGGTTTGACCCAATCACAAAGCTCTTTCCAAGTCCCAATTTTAAAACCTAATAGCGGTCTTGAATTAAGTAAAACCTAAGCAAGTGGTGTCAAAACTTTGACAAATGCTGCAGGAAATCTGCCGACTCTGTGGTTCACTTGACCTTTCAGCCATGCGTCATTTATCCGTTCCAACAAAATAATGTCATCGTCGACCTGAGTAAAGACAAAGACGAGCGCATGCTTAATCAGGACCCGGTATCGCTTGCTGTGGCGTCTCACATAGCCTTCAATTAGAGGTTTGAAAGGGGCGATGCTTCTGAACTCATTTGAAGAGCTGCTCCAAGTGTTTGCCTAGCCCCCTCCGCAGGCTTCACAGTCCTGTTTTAGAGAACGAGTAGGAGAATGGGGAGAAAAAGGGGAATTACAGTGATCCCAACCAATCTCAACCCCTCACCACTTTTTTCTCTTTTTCTCGTTCTCAGACTCCTCACGGTCAGTACAACCGTTACAATAGGAGTTGCCTGCGGAGGAGGCTAGTGTTTGCCTTGGAAAGGTTAGCGCCTTAAAGAGACAGACAAGAGAAGAACCTTATTCTTTTTTGTCGGTCCAAGACCTTTAGCAGATGATTGTCCGTTGTGTTTAGTTTTTAGAGAGATTTAGAATTGAGGAGAGGGCGAGTACGAGTACGCGATTTAACTTTAAGTTTTTTCCGCGTTCTCTCGAAAATATTCAACCCGGAAAGCTTCATTGTAATATTTTTCATCTGAAGAATTAGTGAAGCTATCTCGCTAACACTCGTAGAAGAATGACGACTGCTATCACGTTTTCCCGCCAAAATGACGCTGGTTCACGCGCGAGCACCACTTAGTATTGAGAAAATCTCGTACTCGCAGTCATCCTCGTCTCAGAATCTAAAACTCTCTTTTGTCATGTCATGTGGTGCAGGTTTCAATTTTAGTTTGTAAAGTCTGACCAAAAAGGTTAGATTTCTAAGTAAAATCCGATGACATATATAATGACTCAATAACTAAGTAATTTTTTCAATGACTAATTGATTAATATCATGATTTAACAATCCAGAGAGCGTGGTATTTCTGGTCATTTTAGTCTGTTATTCAACTTTATATTCGCGCCCTAAGCGTAACTGGACGCGGAGCAGTTGTCCCTTTCGTAAACGGTCGCTGCCATTTTTAAGACACTTGAAACTTTTGACCTGTTATTGAGAGTGTTTTTATTAAAAAGAAAGAAAATCGCAACTCAAGGTCAGGGTTGCGATCAGGTACCGTAATCTCTGTCCCTTACCACTACACTACCACACCGACCGCCAAAATTCCGAAACAATTAAGTAGATACACTAGCAAAACTGTCTTTCAGAACTGTGAAATCAGGTGACCGCCCTAGCCCTTTCCATAATTTTTAACGTAAATTCAACTTGGGCTTCAACGTTGTTTTTCTAAGACTATTCAAAAACGTATTATTTTCCTTATTGTAACTTAATCCAGGGAATATATTACATCCATCATGACTAAAGGCTTGGTTACCAGTGGTGGCATCGACCGTTAAATATGGCAACGACAGTTTACGAAAAGGAAATAGGCAGAAACGGAAAGAACTTTAGCCTGCGAACAAAGACTAAGAACAATGTCGCGATCCTAAACAAATTGAAGGTAAGTAATTACCTTAAAAGATAATTCATCTTCATATTCGCCATCAAAATCGAACAGAGCCTTCGCCTTTGGTGTAGCTCTGACATTCTTCCTAGGCTGAGGTCCTAAAAGGGTTTAACAAACACAGATATCGAAATCAACCAGGCAACGCAGTCTGTAGAAACTGACGATTGGCTCATAGGGTAATAGCCTGGGACAGGATCGTTGTTGTCAGGTATGAGAATCCGTGACTAAATTCTCACGACATTTGCGTTTCTTCCAGGGGTACTTAAAAATAGCAAACTAAAGGCTTTCCTATTTATCGTGAAATGCTTAAAATTTACTTCCAAGGTTATATATTTGTTTTCCATCCGGAAAAAAAAATCACACAACAGACTGATCGAGGAGCCAAACATCCAGTTTGGTCACAGTTTGGTTAGTACGTATTTTAGATGAAGTAAAACACATAAAACTGCCGTTTAAGAGCGTGACAATAAATGAGATGATTGCTGGCTGTACCTGGCTCTTTTGAAAGTTGAACAAAAGCTTGAGGAAACATTCCCTCGTGATCTCCAAGCCTCCCTCTCAGCCAATCATCACTGACAATTTCTGTAACTTCTATCCTGTCTCCTTTCCTGAAGGACAATTCATCAGATGCTGACGCAGTGAAATCATACCGAGCCGTGCCGTATTCCACCACAGGTTTCTTCGTCTCTTCTAACAACAGAAAATAAGTGAAGTACAGTAATTCAGCGGAGAGCTGGCAAGACCGGAGGAGTACCCCGTAGGGAGTCTTTGCAAGGGGTACAACTTGTACGCGTCGCACATCCGATTATACGGCATATCATTGGGGCTTTTCGAACCTGAGAGGTGAAGGAGGGTCGTACGATTCGTACAGCTGGGGTTCTTACCATTTACACAAACCACCCGGGTAGAAATCTTGTGCATGAGTATAAAACTATAAAATTTGACGTGGTGGAAGAACAATCCGCTACAAAGTATATACAAATCAGCTGAACAGGCTAAAATGAGTTGGAAAATTGCTTCACCTCAAATCACAGCCCATATTTTCTGAAGATTCCCAAACGGAATTGGGTGAACCATTTGAATTTCCCACCGGAATTTCCGGTTTTCCCATGTAAATGATAAGTACCCTGGTTAACCTGCACCTTATTATGGACACTTCGAATTTGAGTGGCAGGTTGCAGGTTGTAGAGAGGGGCTATTTTCAAGTGGTGCGACTCGTACTCGCTCTCGTGCGACGAGCTGTGCAACTGGTAAGACTGAATCTGCCTGCTTACAAGCTTAGTGCGTTCTTTGTGTTGTCCAACCGTGTGGCGTGGCGTGCCAAGTAATGAAAGTGTAACAAATAGTTGGCTTGTAGAACGAGGAATACTTAATTCACGCATTTCTTTAACACGCGCTACGCATCTTGGACAACATTTTGCCTTAAGTGAGAAGTAAGTGTTAATGCTGACTTAGGGGAGGGGTAGGTGGGCAGTTTCCCAGAGACCTAACTTGATCCCGCACATTAATGTTTAAGGTAGCCTGCGTAACACCTCACTTTATTTTAATACTGAAGGAAAGCGTTTCTGATCATTTACCACTTAGAAATGATAAACACCTCTTAACAACTCGTTAAACATGAATGAAACTTTCAAGACTTGAACAAGTGGTGAATCCATTCCAACTTTCACGACTTGAACAAGTCTTGCGCATCACTCATGATTGTGGATTTTACCCCGGTGCAAAAGACCGTTTTCCCTTACGTGGTCAGCAGCTCTACAAATGCATTAGAACAAAAAAAAGTTTTTACATGAGAAAAGAGTTTCATCCCCATAGGACTTTTGTGGTACACCGACACAACCGCCATTTCATTGTTTTGCATACAAATATGGGCGCCGTGACGTCATATGAAAATGATATGTTGCTATCTTACAGCTAAACCTGCAGTCAAATATTCTTTTGTTCAGAAGACAAGCAAACGAACTTAATGGGTACCTACAATACACACTGAGCCCTTTGCTTGCTTCCAAGCCAAATCCGCTGATAACTATAATCACAGCAACCTCGTTACCACAGTTCTCACCTATCCGTAGGGGCTAGTGCCCAGGAGAGACCCTGGAAACGAAGTTGTAATCACAACTCCTTTTTAGGCTATTGTAATGTCTGAGGACCTTCTGCAGCGAAAAATAGATCGACGAGCTGTGAAATAAATTTCGTTTTTTTACCTGTTTCAATTCCTATTTTCTCCTGTGCACCTTCAAGCATCTCCACAAAAGCTGAGGGAAACATCCCGACTTGTCCATGAAGCTTGCCCTTAATCCACTCGTCACTTATTTTCTCGTGCACTTCAATGACATCTCCCACGCTAAAACTGAGATCTTCTGCCACACCGCTGTTGTAATCAAAGAGAGCTTTACACTGAAGAGTATGCCCAGGTTTTGAATGTGTCTCTTTCCTACTCTTGTTTGCCGACACGTTTATTTCAGTTTGTGGTAATTTATTGATTATGTCTATACTTATATCAACGAAATTGCAAGGGAAAGCCCCTGTATGTCCACCGGTTTCTCCTTTTAACCAATCATCATTGATCTTTTCGATCACGTGGACCATATCCCCTGCACTGAAGACAAGCTCGCCATCCTGGTCGTTTCCATGGAAATCATATAAAGCCATTACATCAAACGGGGAGCTTGCTGGCACCGCACTCGGCTGTGGAAAGCACCGTAAATGAAACGTTTAGTATAGGTGATAAGAGTGAAACGCCCCAAAGAATAATTGATGTCCCCCTGAATTCTGTGCTGAGATTAATGAAATGCCATTCAGGTCTAACGCTCCAGTCGTGGGATAAAAAATAGAGACGTAGTTTCCTATAAGCCCATTTATTTGTAGACAGAATTTATATAAAAAATTCGATCATAATCCCCCTCCCAGGTTATAGGCCTTTCTGCAGGTATCCAATGTATATATATATATAACTTGTTTGGATATGTTGTGGTAGCTATTTAAATTCGAGTTGTGGATGTTCTCTTGGACTGAATTAAATTGAGTGTTGTTATCAGTTCGTTTGGAGAAGATATTTATTTCGCTTACAAGCCACCCGCCCACCCACCCTTGTCTAAACCCAGGGGTGATAATAAACCGGGATTTTAATTTTGACCAAAAACGTTATAGTGATTAGGGTTAAGCACTGAATATAGTAATTAGGTCTAAGCACTGACTCCAAATGGTTAGCTTTCATTTACTGTTAGGTTTGTCACTATATAATTGAAGGGACTTAGACTTAGGCAAAGAAAAGAAGAGTAAAAATTTGAAGAGACTTAGAAATTTCATGTAAGTGTCCCTAAGAGGGGAAGGTGGTTCTGGATGATGGAATCTTAAATGCTAACCGGTCAACGACATGTTTCCAGAATTTCCCAATACCTCCTTGCATGCATGCTGAAAAATTAACCGGGATCACCTTGCGCGCCTAGTTTCTTCATTTGAGAAGATTTCGATACTTCTATACGCGGGGGAATTTAGGGTGTCTCCTCGGGTTCAGGGCTCTCGGCCGGAACCCTGCGGGGGGCAAAAAGATTAAGAATAGAAAAAATGCGAAAAAATTTACACCTTTTTCTATCGGCAACCAAAAAGTGTGGGCTTCGTGTACATTTAGTAGCCCTTTTCAGGGATTCTTACCTGGTCTTCCTGTGTGGTCTCTTGAGGAAGATCCTCAATGATTTCCACAAACTTCACAGGAAACATCCCCTCCTGGTTTCCAAGCCGACCAACGTACCAATCATCATCTATCTTTTTAACAAGCACAATCTCATCTCCTGCCTATTAGGATAAATGAAATGTAAAAACCAAGCTCATTAATTCAGAAAGTAATGACTGCAAAATTAATAAGTCAGTAATGGTGTAACCCACTCACACTCTACGTCCCTTGTACCCCTTGTGACATCATCAATTTGACAGTCACAGATAATTTTGACGCTTAAATTGAACAGAGGGAGATAAGAGATCTTTCCAACCATACCCAATTGCATTTTTTGAGCAAAATTGCTAGTTGGTAATCAGAAACAACACAAAAAGCATGCAGAAAAAAGACATTTAGAGAAAAACAAAAAACGTATTTGACGGAAGGGAAAGATTACAAAACTTGTTAACAAGTATTTCACAAATTGCTCTAAAGCTCTGTGGTTGTCTTGAGCGACGGGTGAAGACGAGGAAAAGGGCTGCAACCTGGTCAAAATTAGGCTAACATTTCTCAAGTTAGCCCAATGTGACTCGGAAAAATCACTAAAAATTGTAATAGTGGATTTCTTCGAGGAATTCTCTTAAAATCTCTTGACATACTTGTAGCAACAAGTCCCGTATAATACTCCTCGCAACTTCTACACCAAGTCCTTTTTGGTGTGTAAAGAGATTTAGAATCGCGTCTACGGCAAACGACAAACAGCAATTTGTTTCATGTGAGCAAGTTTTTCCTTTACTCGACGGTTACTATTCATCACGTCCACATAAAAGTTAGTAGTTACACGGCAGTTTCATCAACAAGAATTAGTTTGCACAAGATTTTTTATCTACTCATTTTCTATCATGATTTTGAGAAATCGTCAAATTGAATCTGCATTGAGTACCTTATTGGTAATTAATTTCGCGTTTTTACTGATTGTGAAATCATCGCTCCTCTAATAAAAATCCTCGCCAAATTTAAACACTGACGCCAAGATAATAAATACCCATTGTAGAAAATCATCAGTCAAATCATGGGAAAAATGGCTAACCTTCAAAAACATGTACACAGGATATGAACTGACAAATACACAAATTATTAACTGGTGTTACTGGTACGTTCCGTAATGTATTGTAACTCATCCAGTTCATCTACAAACTTTAAAAAGTTCAGAATTTTTAAAATAACAAAATTTAATACCCTTTTTTTTATATTCGCCTATTGTAATAGCGAAAATAAAAACCCGCGACAAAGTGTCTCTCCAAAATCGCTAAAATAAGTATCCGCGAAACGTTCTGTACCAATCCATGCAAGGGTGATTTTACACGGGACGATTAGCAACGACGGTTTCTAGCGCAACACAGCTTTGCAATGTTGGAACAACGTTGCAAGCCTTTAAAACAATATCGCAACAATGTTGCAACGCTGTGTTGTGCTAAAAATTGTCGTTGCGAATCGTCTCGTGTAACATCGCCTTAAGGTAGGTCTGACATTAGGTTTGGTACATTAGAGGACCGTTTCTTGAAGGTCCAGGAAAGCTGTTGTTCCGTTTACATTTACCATAAAGGTTTCAACAGCTTTACAGAAACCATGCCAAAATTATTAGTTAGCAGAACAAAATGAACTGATTTTTTCCCTACGAAACACGCTTTTATCCTTTAAATTTTTTTTGAATATTTGACTTCTGAAAGGTTACCGCGACTTTCGAGAAACGGGGAATGGCCCCTGTACACTGAAGCTAAGGGAACCCACGACCTGAAAACCTTTCCTTAACTCCGGGGCATATGCTCCGGGGGGGAACTTTGTTACCGGATGTTTCAGCTGTAAAGAAAGTCTGGTTACAAGGGAAAAAAACAGGTTTTATATTACAAACAAAAACATGAGAACTACTTACGCTAAAAGACAAATCATCCAAGGCGGTAGGCTCATAATCATAGAGTGCTATAGCAGAGGGCTCAATGTACGTTTCAAGAACAGATGACACTTGGGTTGAGGAAGCGCCTTCGTTTTTCTTTTTCCTGGACCTGAAACAAGATAAGCGGTACAGCTAAATGACACCTTTTCTTTTTTTCCATTTCTACATGACCCAGATGATAGCTAATGTACAGTATTTTCTCGATAAAAACGCCCTGGGCAGTTTTGACCCGGTTTGTCTTCGAGGCCGGCGTTTATTAATGAAATACAATTTTTTGTCATTTTCAGGTTGATTTATTAATACCGATCTTTGGAGACCCGGGGGCAGTTTGTCAGGGGGTGGCGGGAGGACGGTTTTTCCCTTCGTCCCGCCCCTGGATCTCCGAGGATGATTACCATTACCCCAAGTTACAGTATTATGGTATAGTTGTGTTATGCCAGTATTTTTCCTTTGAACATTTGCTAAAATACCAAAACAGCATACTGTACTTGGTATGCCGTTACAGTGCTGTTCAAGAGATTTTATTTATTTGTTACCGGTCCTTAAGACCTCGACCGCAAATAAACGCAGGACCTCGATCAAACGCCAGGGCCCCGATTAAACGCCCCCGGTGTTAATACTTAAAAGTCGGCAGTTATGACCCGGCGTTTTTGGAGGCCAGAGTTTCAACGGGGCCCGGCTTTTAATCGAGAAAATACGGTAAACACTGGCGGAGTGTACCAGCGAGAAGGATATGGCGTGGTCATGTGACCATTGGACTCTTAATCGAGAGGTCTGAGTTCGCGCTCCGCTTTAACTCCTCGCAAGAACTGTTTCTCTGTGGTCCTAAGTTCATCTCTTCGGCGTTTGCTGTAAACAGCTTGTTGTTTTCCCTCAAGACAGTTGATATTTCAATCATGCTACATTATATGCCAAATTTGACGTTTTGCTGGCGTTCCTTTAAGTATGCTGTCAGCAAACGAGCTAAAGGGGCTACGTGTACCTCCTATATAAGCAAGGCGCTTTCTTATTTCACTAAACACTTAAGAGAGCGACGAGCAGTAAAGACAATGTTACTTACTTTGCTACTGGTTGTGATGGTGCTTGTTTCTCGTGCTTTGAAGTCGATGCAGATATAGGTCGAGGTGGTCTTGCTTTGGGCTTTGAAGCCTTTTCATGGCCCTTAGCAACAGAATGATCTGTCTCCCTTGAGCCACGTACAGTGCATGTGTTGTTCACGTGATCATCCGCTGATGACTCTGCTACTGTTCGTATCTCAGCTGCATTCCTACTAGCAGCATCTGCCTTTGAAGCGGCAGGAGCTGGCCTAGCTGGTTTGGTTTCAACTTCCACGTGAGCTTCCAAAGGCTCGTCACGCAAATCTTTTGGGTGTGTACCATCTAGAGTTCGTGAAGAAGCCCGAGGTGGCTTGCTTTTTTCTTTAGGTTTATGATCCTGTGTTTTTTGAGCGTCTGAACTAACGCTGGCCTTACCACCAGCAAGCTTACTCGAAGGAGGTCTATGAGGCGCAGGTCTATGTTTCTCGTTTGATTGTTCATCTGAGGAATGAACTTCATCGCGTATGTCTGATGTGGTCTCCACTTGTCCTCTATGAGAATCAGCTGCAGGGGGTCTGGGAGGAGGAGGTCCCCTCTTTGAGCCTTTTCTAGTTATATTTTTTTCTGTCCCTACTGACGACTCTAACTCACGCAATTTCCTTTTATCTAAAACTGATTCATTTTCTTTAACTCCAGGAATAGTAACTGGTCTGTGAGGCCTTGATTTAGTTTGTACTTTATCACTCAGCAGAGCAGAAGCATCTGGTTTCGCTTCTTCTTTCTGAGCACCAGCTGCAAGTTCACTCTGATCCTCATTCTTTGCGGGGGGAGCACTATCTGGCCGTGGTGGCGCTGATCTTCTAATACTTGGTCCTCTCTGTGGTCTTTTGGGTGCTTTGCGCTCTACGCGCTCTGTCTCTTGCCCCTGAGGGCGTGGCGCTCTAATAACGGTTGGTACGCGCTTAGTTTTCACTGGTTGAGGTGCAGCAGACTGATCTTGCATTTCTCCAGGTTCAGCAGAAGCTGCCTTTGAAGAGGTCTGACCATCTTGTTCGCTCTTAGAAGTCTCTTTATCAGAATCTCTCGGTGCTTCAGGAATCTTAGAAGGTTGAGAGGGCAATACCACAGTGGGCCGAGGTGACGTTTTCACCTGGGCTACGGTTTCGTCTTTCTCCCTAACAGATTCACTACCAGGCGTTGGTGTTTCTGTAACTTTAGAAGGTTTGGCCGCCAATATCACAGTTGGCTGAGGTGCTTTCTTTTGGACTCCATTCGCTTCCTTCTCCTCAGCAGATTCACCACCAGTCTTTGGTACGTCTGTAGTTTTAGATGGTTTAGCTGGCAATATCACAGTGGGTTTCGCCTTTGGTTTAGGGGCTACAGTACTATCAAGCTTCTTGTCCTCTGCGGATTCCTTAACAGCTGGTTCCACCACACTGGAGGGCTTGGGTTTAACAGCTGGCTTGGGTTTCTTAGCCGGAGGAGGTGGTTTTCTCTCCTGGGTACTGACATGAATCGGTTTTTCCCCCTTATGCTCCTCAATTCCGTCTTTTTCCTCCGGTCCCTGAGAAGAAGTCGTTTTCTTCGGAGGTTTAGCAATAATAACTGTTGGTTTAGTCTTCTTTCCTGCAGCCAGTGCATCCACAACTGGGATTCCAGTACCATCCAAACCTTTTTCTTTTACTTCATCAACACCAGATGAAGCTCTAGATTCCCTCTCCCTGGGTTTTGCTTTTATTGCAGTTGATTTGTCACCAACTTTGTTAACCTGTTGATCGTCCTCTCCTATCTCACACAAATCTCTTGGGCGTAACTCTGACTTCTCGTTAACATTTCCACTGTCATTAGTATGCTCATCAGTTCTTAACACATCATTAATTTCAGGCTTGTCATTTTTCACTTTCTTTGTTGGAAAAGTTGGAGTATTACTCAACCTAGTGCCATCGACCTTACTAACATCCTCTTTGTGAGTATTTATCTTCTTATCAGATATCACTGAGCCCATATCCAGTTCATCTGATTCCAGCGTAAGCTCACTTACTGGGCGTGTCTTAGGTCTAGGCGGGGGCTCACGGCCCTTGGGTTTTCGCCTTTGTGGTGCCTTGGGTAAAGGCTCTTCAAATGCTGGTGCAGGTTGGGCGGGGACTGCAGGAAGTGGAATCACTCCTGAAGAATCCATTGGTTTTGCTGACACAATGGAGATTTCAGGTCTACCTTTAGGACTAAACAAACAAAAACATATACATTCAGTTACAGTACAACTTCTCTGCGACTGTCACTTTGGGAAGAATCTGTGAAAAGTTACATGGAATATTTGGCAGGCAAACGGAGAGGAAAAAAACCCAAATCAAGTGTGAAATATAATTGTAAGTAAGGTTAGGTTTAATGTAAGAAGGGAAATTATGCGTTATTTTTTCCATAAAAAATCGGCTATACAGAGACGAGGTTCATTTAAAAAGCTTTAGGAATTACAATAAAAATATATAATGACCAGAATATTTAAACTAAACGAAGCGATTATGATACAGTGAGTGCATTAGATTGTGCACTGGCAGCTTTTAACTGCTTGTAAAGTGTTGTAGAAAGATCGTTTGTACAATAATTATTGGAAGGCTAGTAAGTGGCTGTAACTGTTGTAGAACTGAAAGGATACTTAAAATGACTGCATTTATGGAAAGTACACGGAGAGAAAAAATTGGCCATTGCATAGTACTAGGGGTAGAATTAGTTTTAATAATACAGTGGAATCCCGATTTTTCAACCACCTTTGGAAAAAGCAAATTGCTTCAAATTATCTCGGGGGTGGGGGGGTTAAAAAGATTTTGTAGTAACCTGAGTAACAGAGGTTAGGAAACAGGGGCTGGGTGCTGCTAGAGTACAGCTGGCCTTGCTCATGCACATAAGACAATTTCCAATCTATTCTAATGTGAGATGATGTGAAAGTGATACAATAAAATTATTCATCACTAGCATATTAAACTCAAAAGTTGAAAATTCAACAGTACGGAACAAAATTCCTCTTCACAAAAATAGTATATACTCTACACTGTAAATTAATATGGCAAAAATTGCAAAATTGGCATGACTTAAGACCTTAGATAAGATCTACAAAAATGATGATCTCCGAAAAAATATACATATTTTAATTGCGGCTGTTAAAATCGTCTTGAAGGGGTACCTATTAAAAAGTTCCAAGTGACATCAAAATGATAAACTGTTGATTCTCCCTCTAAATTGACACATCTTTGCTCATAAAATAAAGGAGAATTTGACATTATATCACAGGGACTAAGAGGTGTTTTAACACCCCCCAATTTTTATCCTTGGTGCATGCATGCTTTCACCATTTTCCCTAACAATAGTTCTAATTCAAAACTAAGAGACTGTCAAGAAAACAAGTAGAAATTTGCTGACTCTTGGTCCTTGGCTGGCTCAGGTTACTGACAAATACACACAAAGAAACAGGTTAATTTCATACTTAGGTTTAGGTGATCCTTTCTGTGCCAGGTTAATGTTACTTTGTTCTTTGATTGAACTGCCCACATCCACTGCTGTCTCACCAAGGTCCACTCTAGGAGGAGGGGGAGGGGGAACAGATGGTGGAGGCTTTTTGCCAGGTTTAGTAGGAGGCGATCCATCAGAAGGTGCATGCTGTGTTAAAGGTTCTATGGGAGGTCTCTGTGGGAGGTACGGCATTGGTTTAGGAGGAGCTCCTCTTGCTGGCTTCACTTCACTCCCTTCCATTGTCCAAGCACAGTGTATCTTTTTCTAACCTATTAAGAGCAGAAAATAATGAAACAACCACTGATAACAACAGGCTTCTGCAGGAGATGAGCTAACTGTTGTCTGTGTCACCAGAGCTATTTGTAACCTCTGGTAATACAGTGTAGAACACTGATGTAAATTAGAGATACAGTATTATATGAAAAATCAGGACATGTAAATGAAAGAACTAAGTATCATATGTAACAGAACTCTGTATTATAAATTTTGATGAATTTTAAATCCTGGTGGTTGTTTAGGTGAATCCCTAATAAATTAAAATAGTTTTTTGGGCTAAACCCTAAACACAAGGTGGGGTGGGGGGGACCATCAAGTTCCCAAACTGCTGTAATGTTTCAAGTTCTCTTGGTTTGAACTTAACAAAGTTTATGGTGTTGGATGTTGTACTGATCCCAATCAATATCTCCAGGATCTAACAAGGAAGAAACCTACAGAGTAAGAAGACAAGCCAAAAAAAACACTAACATTGGATGAACCGATGTACAGGGGAAGTTAAGAAGACAAGACTAACTAGATCTTAATGGAGGAACTGAACTGTGGAGAAATGTAAGAGGAATTGTGAACATTGTGAAAGGAAAAGACAGTTAATTGGGAATATATGGTGAAACATTAAGCACTGTAAGTCTTGCCCTATCTATGCGCTTCCCTTTGACAAAAGGTAATTTGTTGGTGTGGGGCTTTGAGGTGCCGAAAAACACAGAGTGCTACTAAGATGTAGGTCAACTTACTGTCTTATTGAAACATAAGGTGACTTGCCAATTGGCAAAAAAGTCTTAAAACATAGTCACTGGCCCTGTGTTACATTCACTCATCAGCAACAAAGTTGTTGCTTGAAGTACGTGTAGCACAAATTTCCAAATTGCAAGAGAGCACTGGCTAATTAGGTTTTGGCACTCTCTAATATAACAATAATTAATCACACCATGTATACAGGGCTATATATGTAACTATTAAAATAATATCTAATAACATGAATTCTTAACCCTTTAAAAATCCTAAGATCAAAATTTGAATTCTCATTTGTTGCCCCTATTCATTTCCTACAAAAGTAGAGGGGAGAAGTTAATAAAATATCAAGCAAATTCATCTTGCATTGTGTGATCATGTCCATAATAATTATGGACATGAGAATTATTCTCATGACCAATCTGTTTTACAAAGCATTGATATTACAAGGAGAATTTGATGTTTATCACCCTTAGGGCTTAAAGGTTTAAAGAAAAGGTTATGAAAATAACTACAAAATATATAGATTAAAATCAATAATGCAGCTACATGTACACGCAAGGTTATTTCAGTTTTCAGTACCAGAGTCAAACACAGAGTATTATTCTCACAATACTCTTTGACATTTTTTTATAGAACTAATAAAAAAGCTTCAACACAATACATTTTATCCCATTACATCATTTCCTTAATTCTCACAACTGTGCATTTGAATAACCAGTGGGACTAGGAGGAGAAAACAAATCTTGGTCACTACATTGTATTAACCACTTCACTCCCAATGTTGGCAAAAGTAAAATTGACAGAGGTGCTAAATTTCACTTTCTAAAATGCTGAAAAACACATAAAATTATTATTGGGTGAAAATACTGTTGAAGGGGTCACATTTGAAGGGTCACACTACAGAATTCTGTCCACAGACGCAAACGTTAGGACTGTAACACCTCACGAGTGCAGATTCAACATCCCCTTTGATGTAATCTGCTTTTCATGATCTCACAAACTAAAATTATTATGTATGTATTATTTTTTACTCCAGTTAGAAAATTCGTTGGAGATTTAAACTCTGTGAGAGCTGATACAGGTTGGTATCCAAAGAATTTTAAACAGATAATCTCTAATTACCGATATTAGCCACCTTTGAAACAAAATCCTTTTCAGAGAGAATATTCTACAGAAATACAGTCACTTAGAAAAATAGTGCATTACTTTCTTTCTTTAGCAGACCAAATTGGAGTAAACTTTCAGACTTAGGAAAATGATTTGGTTTAAAATAAAAAAAAAATGTTTAGAATTATCAAATTCAATGCTATGTTAGCATTGGGATGGATGATTAAACAACCTCTGGTAGGGGGCAAAGAGAAATGTTTTCAAGACTAGATGCAAAGAGAATGGAAGTTAAGAAAAATGTTCATGATGAGAACTTAATTGTTCTTGATAAGCGGTTAAAAATACCTTTTTCTGTCCATCGGTGTTTTAACCAATCATACAAAGATCGACTTTAGAGAAAAATGTCCATGGTTCTTGATGAGCAGCTAAAAATACCTTTTTCTGTCCATCGGCGTTCTAACCAATCGACTTTAAGTCCATGAATGTACGTTCATCATCGAATTCGTGAAAAAAAAAAATACAACCAAAATGTATTTTTTGGATAAAGCACGGAAAAACGTTAATAACGAAGCACCTTCCGTGCGCGCCAGAAATAGACGCAAACAAAAGTAACAAAGTAACACTGATATAATTATGATCAAAACGACGCGATGGGCAAGCTATTTCTGTGCACTTTGGAACAATCAAAACATGACCCTTCAGCAATCAAGTATCAGTGAAGACATCCCCTTATTCATGAAAAAGTAAGAACTGAAATTAACCCGCAGATTTGTTAAATTCAGGGCGGGGAGGGAATAGACTAGAATACTTACAAGTTTATCTCACGTATCCATCCACCATTTCTCCGCCTCCTTTTCGAAATAAAGAGGGATAGGTACTTCATATATGATTATTATGAAGTACCTACCCCATGGGAAGAACCGCTGGCCACTTTAGCGCCCAAAGCATTCTGGGTGATGGAGGGAATGTGGCGGTTATTTCAAGCGAGCAAAACAAATTTATTCACCGTTCGAAAATCTTGTTGATCGCTGTTCAGGACACGAGGATTATGCCAGAAGAAAAAGAAAAGATTATTCCTGTTCGTGTAGCCTTGAGAATAAGGCCACTGGTTCCAAAAGAAACCGGCGATGGATGCAAAGAATGCATCAGATGCGTTCCAGGGCATCCTCAAGTCATCATCGGGGAAGACAAAGCTTTCACCTATGATTATGTGTTCCAAACGTTCAGCAAACAAGCAGATCTCTATACTAAAACTGTGATCCCGTTACTGGAGGGATTTTTCAAAGGATACAACGCAACAGTGCTGGCCTACGGCCAGACCGGTTCTGGCAAGACTTATTCGATGGGCACAGCTTTTGCCATGAGCACTGAAACGAACGATGAAAGGGGAGTAATTCCTAGGCTAATCGAAACAGTATTTGACTGGATTGACGAAAGAAAGGACACAACAGAATTTTTATTGAAAGCGTCCTTTTTAGAGGTATGAACGTTTATTTTCATGAAATGCTTAATACTTGAGTATTGGTGATTCAAATTACGCTGTGTCTAGATACCCAGCAGCCGAGAACTGTTTTTAAAAAACCTGAAGTCTTGCAAAGAGAAGACCATCACGCGAGATGATAACTTGCACGATTTTAAAAGAAAAGAAGAATCGGATAAAACAAGCATACTTTTTTAAATTTAAAACTCCTGATTTTATGGCAAAGTAGTGGTTTTTTAATTTATACATGCACGTATGATAATCATGATCGCGTTTGCTGCAGATCCACAATAAATCTGAATAAATTCAACGCTCCCATTAAAACTGGCTCAATTGAGCTTAACTCCCGATAAAAACTTGGTCTTATCATCTGAGGACATAAAGTTAATTTACCACAGTCAAAAGATTCAAATGAAAAACTTAAAAATAGGAGTTAGAATTACAGCTCAGTCCTGAGTGGCTTATAAATTAAATCAAGCTTTGTCAACTCAGCTGTGAAGTGAAAACAAATTTTGTGTTTCACTTCCAACAACAACAATGCAGTTTCTTTTAATTTGTTATTACAGTATTTGAAACCTCTCCTGTCATTCAATGTAGCCCTGCTTTTCACAACCTGGCACTCTGCACGTCGTAATAATACCATTACGGTCACATTGCACAGCTGTAAGTCAGCAACGTTTAAAACAAACTGACATCATGATTACATTCTACATAATACCGTATTATTAACCGAGAGTGAGATAATTACAAGGAAATCTCGGACCGAGGCCTTGATGTATTAATGATGTATTTAATAATGCACCAAGACCAAGGTCTGAGATTTCCCTGTAATGGCTGAACAGACGAGGTTAATAAGTTATTTATTATATGGCCTTTTCATTATGGACCTAGCCTGGGATAAATATTAAAACCAAATACTGGTCAGTGGATAACTTAAAAAAAAAAACCACATCTCCTCAATGAGTTGAACACTTGAGCCCATGATACAGTCAGATGACACTGGTCAGCAGATACCTTTTTGACAGCTGTCAATTGACCATAACATGGATGGCCATGAGGATGTCCACTATCAAGGTCAACACAGATTGTATATGCCTTGGGCACCTATTGTAGCCATGTAACAAGTGTACTTAAAATTGCCTACAGATTCATAATGAGGAGATTCATGACCTGCTTAATCCCGGTCCACAAGAGGAATCCAAAATTGCCATAAGAGAAAGTCATGACGGAGGAATCAAGGTACTGCACGGTCATTTGTACATGTAAAATACTTGTGTCAGGGTAAGACTGGAGGGAACTTAGCCCCCCACTTTTTGAGGTGGTTGGAAATAAAATGTTTTACCAGTTTTAGCTGTTAAATCATTCAATTCATGACTTACAAAAGTTAAAATAACTCCAGTTCCAAATTTTCATTCATGGACTAACCTCTTTGTAAACTTTGTAACAGTTTTTCTTTGTTGTTTTTATTCCCCTTTTTTGAGACTTGAAAAGCGACTGTGTGTGTCGCTTGGTTTTAAGGATTATCATACATATGTATCTTTGTTTAATACATATTTACATGATACATATACATATACATGATACATATGTATCTTTGTCTAAGGAGAAGAAAAATTTTGTATCTCCAAGCGGCAATTGTATTATTGTTCTGTTTTTTATGGAATGAAATGCTAGTCTGCTACACAGCTGTTTTTAGTGTCGTCACGCAACATTCCTCCCCACAGGAGCATTGTGTGACGACACTAAAAACGGCAGACTAATGTGTAGCAGACTAATGAAATGGCAAACTATGTCACTTTAGAACAATTTTTGAAGCCATAGCAATGGTGATCTTTTCACATGTGAAGATAATCACTGGTATTAAGTTACTGGGTTTTCCTGGTGAGCATGCAAAGGCAAGCGATAGGTGGGAATGAGTAAAAATCTGTGCCTTCCCTCGTCATGCATGTCTCACACTCCATGCCCCTGGCAGCTCTTAGTTGCTTTCACTTTCCTGAAAAATAGGAAAAAATAATGCTTATTCTGCAGGGAAGGCCTTGTACAGTAAATAAGCAGGTATAATACGATAATATGCAGGCACTTATTTACACTCACAAGGTTTTATTCATGTACTCTGATAGCCCGGGACTAGTGGATTTTGCAATCAGACTAGTAAATTCTGTTTTTGCCCAATAGACAAGTGAAGTAATCCAAATTAAAGAAGTAGATTGCACTGTATATTCCTAATTAATTCACTTGCATTGAAAGTGGTTTAAAGCTGACCTGACAAAGTGAAATAATTACAAGTTAACAATATGATGCATTTAGAAAGCCAGTAATTTTGATTTATTGCCACAGCTTGCATTTTGTGCAAGGGGCAAGCTGTAAAACTGACTTTCTTTCGCCGTGATAAATGTTTTTTCTTCCCTAGATTGCGGGTTTACAAGAAGTAACCATAACATCTGGAGCAGACATGATCAGATGTTTAGAGCAAGGCTCAGCATCAAGAGTTACTGGAGCTACTGCTATGAACAGTAGATCCAGTAGATCTCATGCCATTTTTACAATCACTTTAGAGCAACGGGAACTACAAGGGTAAGGTCATTGCAGATTTTCTGTTAGTAATGATTGTTTACATGCTCCAGTAGTGCTGACAACTCAGTTTTAGACTCAAGAAACGTGAAAAATCCAATGGGCAACAAGAAAACTCCTAGGAAAACAGACCAAAAAACAGTGTTCTGAGAACACTGTTTTTAGGTCAATAACTGAAAAAAAAATAATCATAAGTAATACTTTAAAACTGAATAACTTATAACTTAATTTATAACTAATAACTATTCTTTAAAAAACTTATTAACATTCAATAGGTACTACCCGGTATTAAAAACTTGAAGCAAACTGAGGCACTGTCCACACATATGAGGGTATCCGTTTTTGTTTGAAAACTTTTCCCCGTTTTCAAAAACATTCTCGTCCACACGTTGCGTCGAATCGTTTTGCCTTTCCTGACTCTCTAAACGGTACCATCTTTGATGGGAGTAGGCGCATCTTAAAATGGTATCTGAGCCACCGTGACGTAATCGGCTGATTTCATCCATCCACACCAGTGCAGCAAAAAGGGGTTTTCAAAAATCTCCACTCTGGAAAACGTTTTTGAAAAGATGCGTTTTTGGTGACCGTTTCGACCAGACAAGTATGGACGGTAGACTAAACCAGAGAAAAAAAATCTCCGTTTTCAAACAACAACTGGCACGTGTGGACGAGGCCCGAAAAGTAGGGGAGAGCTTTGAATTCAATCTCAGGGGAAACCCGGGCTTCAGTGACTGAAACCACGGAATGTTGTATAGGATGATTATTTTAGACTATATGTGAAGAATACACTCAAACCTCTTTAATACGGACGCCGAAGGGACAGAACCAAGTGTCCGCTTTACAGAGGTGTCCGTATTATTGAGGTAGGGAATGTATGATTTTTGGCATTTCTGGGACCAAACGAACTGTCCGTAATAGAGAGTTGTCCGTATTATAGAGATGTCTTTAAGGAGAGGTTAGACTGTACTAACAAACGTTGAATTTCATATCAAAAATGAGTCCTCCCAATTTGCGAATAAATGTCAAAAAGTTAACAAAACCCGCAATCTGTTGAAGCCCGAAAAAATGTTCATCTTACACATTGTAAAACGAGCAAACAACCGCCAACTAGCACGGGTCAGAACTTATTCTAAAACGAAATATTACGAAGTTTTTAACCAAGAAAACACCAAACCAGTCCATATCAAGATACGACTATTTCCATTTCAAGAATGAGTTGACGAAATTAGTCTCAAAAATTAAATTCTTAGGTTACGTGAAAAACGGACGCAACGGTGTCCAAACGGATGTAACATCCAACAATGCTGGGAGTTGTTGGCCAACAATGTTGCGTCCGTTTGCACGGGGCTTTCCTTAAAAAGTTGTCAATGCACATTAGGTCTTGTTGCAGTTAGATTTCCTCCGCTTTCCTCCAGCAGTTTTCTTCCTTTTTATAGAAAATTCTCTCATTTGGTTACAAAGGTAAGGATACCGTGCTTAACCTGTGTACTTCAGTTCAGAGTTATACAATGTATTTGCTTATTAATAACTCCGATTTCTTCACAACTTTGTTATAGACTTCTTTAGCCTGGTTAGTTTCTTTTCCCAATATACTAATAGGTCATGTGATGATATTCTAGAGAACTGTTTCTTTCAAATTTCAGTGGTATACACTGCGAGACCCTGGTTTCAAAATTCGAGACCGAGACTGCGAGACATGGTTAAAAACTCAAGCACGAAATTACTTAACCAGTGATAAAACACACGCTGTTCGTGTTTTAACATTGCAAAACATCTTGTTCAGTAAGGCGCCAAAATTTGGTCACATGCAAGTGCTCTTTTGTGCACCAAAGTTAGCTACGTCTGCCAGTCATATAGGAATTTAAATTTAGGCTGAGGAAAAAGATATGGCATAACAACCTCTTAATGGTTTCTTAGTAGCAGTAATTAACTTTAGTACAGTGGAACCCCGCCTTACGACCACCCCGTTTATAAGACCACCTCGTTATTACGGCCATATTCTTTCAAACCAAACGTAAAAAGCATTGAGTCATTATATTATTTTGAGGACCCCGTTAATGCGACCACCTCGTTATTACGACCAGGATTTTATGGCCCAACGGTGGTCGCATTAACGAGGTTCCACTGTACATGCTAATTATTCGAGACTCGAAAAGCATAATTTGTTACTTAGATAGTCTTAATAATGGCGTTACGGTGACGCGAAACTTCGACTTTTTACGCTTTTATTTACATTTTTCTGTACGGTAAATATATCAAATATTGTTATTGATTAATATACAATCGAACCTCCATGTGCGTCCCCCCCTCCGCAGCGTGAATGCTAAACAGAGCCGGGTCAAACGAGAAAATCATGGTAGAGGAAGAAAGGAGAATAGGGCAGAGATAATTCTACCTGCCTTCTTTTCTTTGCCCTCTCCCCCATCGTTTTCTCCTTTGACCTCTTACTTAACGAAAAAACGAACGAAAAAAAAACACCGCCTGCTGCCTAGGCTATATTAGTCCAGGCCCGATACAACACCCTGTGTACGAAACATACGAAAATCCTATATTAATAAGCCGCGCTTCACCGTACATGTACGTTTATTTTAATTTCTTAACAGAAGTGAACTGAAAAAGGCGAAATTTCATCTAGTGGATCTGGCGGGATCTGAGAGAGTGAAAAAGACCCACGCTCAGGGAGAGCGTTTTAAAGAAGGTGAACAATATTACTGTTTCGAATTAGTCGCTTATTCTTGCGCCCATAAATTTACATTACTTATACAAGACATGTAGTTTGTTATAAACTAAGTCTACCAGTTCAAGTAGTAAAAACTGCAGCCATTGCAACAATTTACAATCTCCGGTATGGGAAGATACGCTTCATGGCTTCACGTGAGAAGCTCTTTTAACAGGTATATCAGTTCTTGAGTGTAGGACGGTTTCAACTTTTTCAGCCTTCGTGGCCAGCTGGGGGAAAATAAATGGAGAATAGAGGCTCGCGATTAAGCCCAAAAATCCACATACAAATTCTCCAGACCAATCTTTGTACATTTCCTCGAAGAATTACTTAAGAGATTTTGTTTAACGATCAAATCATTTTTTCTTACTTTGTTTATAATTTTATCAATTCTCAGAACCTTTTCTCTTGATAATAATTGATTTTGCTGGGAGAAAAGTGATGTTGATCACTCTTGCCCTTCAAGAGCCTGCCACCCATGGTGATGCTCAACTTTTCTATGCGATATGTTACCTTTGAGAATGCAAGCCAGTCACGTTTACAGGGAAATTTCGCGAGGAAATATTCCTAGTGCCTGCTACGCAGGCTAGGAAATTTACGTTCAGCTAAAAAAGTTGAAAATTTATTTGTAATCCTTGATACATATTTCCTCACTATTGCTATTTTTTACCCCTTCAGGTGTAAACATCAACAAAGGCCTTCTTGCTTTGGGAAATGTTATTAGTGCTTTGAGTGACGAGCTTAGAAAATCAAACGCTCATGTTCCTTATCGAGATTCTAAGCTAACCAGACTACTTCAAGGTAAGAACCAAGCAACATTCTGAGATATGAAAAAGCGATTTGGATATCTAGATGGCTTAGAAGTATCAATTGATGGACTGGATATTCTGCTATTTTTTTTTAACTCTCTTGATATTTTCACCGAAAGCATGTTAGTTTTTCTTGAGCAATTTACAGTCATGAGAATAAACGCCTCTCTCTTTTAAACGGCCCTATCTATTAGAAGCCTCCCTCTTGGACCCCTAAAATTAACTAAACACCCCGGGCGTATAATGAAACATTTACGGCTTTTTTATTTGTCTGTTTTTACCCAATGGTGCAATGTTTCCTTGTCACGTTCCACAGATTCTCTCGGTGGCAACAGTAACACACTGATGATAGCTTGTGTTAGTCCCGCGGACAGTAACTTTGAAGAAACGCTCAATACTCTCCGATATGCGGACCGAGCAAGACAGATTAAAAACAAGCCTATTGTAAATTTAGATCCAGCGGCTGCTGAACTAGCTCGGCTTAGACAACAAGTATGTTATTTTCATTTTTACCAGTCATGTAGTCACTGTGTATTTTAAAGCCAGCCGATGATCAATAGCGCACCGGACTGGAGTTGTTTTCTTGGTTCTGTATTTCCCCGCGGTCAGCCCTTTGGCCATACTTGAAAACAACCGACTGGTTGCCTCCATGCCTATCATGCTGAGAGTTCTAATCTTTTTATCAGGATTTTAAAATCCCATGATAATTTTGCTCAGCCTCAGTAGCATTGGTGACAGTATATACACTGTTAATGATGTATGAAATAAATCATATATGAACTGCGGAAATGAATTGAAAATGAAGAAATGATCGTCGCAGTGAACGCAATTTATGCAATTGCGTAAATTCAAGAATTGCGTTCACTGCGACGATGATTTCTTCATTTTCATTTCATTTCCGTAATTCATATATAATTTATTTCATATATCATTAACACTCATTTCTTTCACGGGAACATATGAACCCACAATTGACCTGCTCCCAACGTCAGTGACTTCATAGCTCAGTTGGTAGAGCATCGCACCTGTATCGCGAGGTCTCGGGTTCAAACCCCGTTGAAGTCCTGAATTTTTTTCAGGCTTCTTTAGGCAATTGCGTAAATTGCGTTCACTGCGACGATCATTTCTTCATTTTCAGTATATAGTGTAATATACACTGTCGGCCGTTAATGTTTCCTCTCAGGGACCTCGATACCGTTTTCTTTTTGTCAGCGGTTTATGTGTGATGTTTTTTTCATGGATAGTTATTATGAAAACAAATCATTTCTGTAGAAATCCCGGCGAAAAGTAGCATTTTTAAGGACGCCGAGTCCTGTTCACACGTACGAGCAAGCGTTTCGTTGCCGAAAATATCGCTGCCACGATCAACTGCTGGAATTTTCGATTTAAACATTTTTTCTCTGATGTCACGTCCCCTTAAGGACGTCGACATCGTCTTTGTGTGAGAACCTAACCAAATATAAAGCTGAAAGAGGTTTGACCTGTGCCAACGAACTATGCAAAGGAAATTTTGAAAAATTGAGTTAGCGCATGCGCTTGGCGCGGTGTTTGATTCCCCCATCATTTTCTTTTACTCTGAAACACATTCCCTACTACCTCTCCCTTAGGTCCAGTTACTTCAGATGCAGCTTATCCAGGGACAGACAATTACAGGCACTGACCATGGAGGAAATGGGTAATAATAACGAGCATTAAGGACCAGTAATTGAACTAAGTTTAGCCAGCTTTTAACAAAACCGCGTTCTAAGCCAGACATTTTCAGTTTATCGAACGGTTTTATGTAAAGACCATTTATCGTGAACGGTTTCATAAAAGGATATGGAGTAGACAAGAAAAACAGTTTTCTTCTTAACCCAGTAAGGAAGAGATCTGGGTGCCCAAAGATTTCCTAAACCGCGGTGAATTAAAAGTTGTAAGTTAGACACTTCGTTTAAATAATCGGCCCTAACTGTTTTTCTAGAACATGAGACAATTCCCAAGTTAAGTCAACGTTACCTGAATGTAGGTTACGCTTCTTTGAGTTCGCAGTGTTTACGGTGAATCCGGCTTATAACCACTCAATCTCGATTTTGGGGTGGAAGGGACCGTTCATTTTTTATCAGGCAGCAAGGGGGGTTGGTGGGATTTGACGGATAGCTCCTGTAGTATATTAGTAGTAAACCTTTATTTAACTAGGGTAATCCCTTCAGAATACTTAAAAGCATATCTGTTATCAATAGGAGCCCTAAATTAAGACTAATAAAAAAGTTCAAAATAAATAATAAGAAACTAAGTAACTATAAGTTAATAATAGTACAGTATATTAATTCAAACTAATTCTTATTTACTAAATAATTATTATACACAACTGAGCCATTATAATAAAAAATTTTTTTGGCCGTCTCAGTTCTTACTGCAGGTAAGTATATAAAATTGCTTCTTCTTGTTACTCTTGAAATAACTTCCTTATTCAACTTAAAATAATTCTTTAAAAACTGTGGTACATTATTATTTAAACACCTCTTCACTAAACCTAAAATATGAGCGTTACGGCGATCTTCTAAACTCTGAAATTTAAGATAGTCGGTGGATGTTGTACCACATTTAGATTTAACTATAATTTTCGGAGCCCGCCTTTGCAAAGATTCAAGACTTTCCATATCTGCTTTATTGCAGCTGGACCAAACAACATCGCAATAAGCAAAAATGGGCAAAATTAATGAATTATACATCTCGAAAGCTGCATGTATAGTGCAGCATGCACAATGCATGTATGTATATGCATACATACATGCATGAATGCATGTATGAACCCCCTAATTACTTAGAATTTTTTGGGTGCCCCCCGCCTTGTAGCCCACAAAAATTGAGATAATGGGTACATAATGAAGCAGGTGGTCCGAGGGCACGCTGCCCAGGGATAATCTGAACTTTCTGAAGGTTCGAAACGCTGGCTTTGGCATTCTGGCGGGTTTTTGTTGCATTAATACAGATGCCGTCCCTGCAAAACTTGACTGAATGATTTCTTTGCTGATCCCCCCCTCACACCTAGTATTTTTGCCTACCCCCCCCCTTGACGCCATATTTATTCAATATTGGCATGGCCCTCCTTAGATCCAACCAGCCCTTCTCCCAACTACCTGATCAAAAACGAACTGACGGGGACGTCAAAGAAAAACCGGGGAACAAAGGAAATACGAAATATCTGCTGGAGAAATTCAGTCATAACGAACAGTTCACACTACGAGCATTTGTATTTCTCTCTCGTTTGCCTTGCCAAACAGTGGACACAAATATTGATGTGGCTACTTACTGACAAATCTGCTCAGTCATCAAGTGATTTGCAACTTGCGCATACTTATAACTCACATTTATTGCGAAGACTACGCGAGAGTTCCTCTACTGAGTAAATGAAACATAAACGCAGTTTTTTTTCCATTGAGCTACACATAAAAACTGCCCTATAACGAATTTAAAATTGTTGAAAATGAAATTAACTATCTGGGTACTCGAGCGGCAAAATGATAAAAGTTTAACTGCAATACATGCTCCTGGGATGTCGCATAGGGTGAAAGAAACTAATCATTTTTTCCCTTTAAATTTTTAAGTACTGAAAGTACGGCTGTCAACATTCAAGAAATGGCGGACAGGATCACAGAACTAGAGGTACAATCCTGTGATGACGCTTTCACTGTAAAATTGTAGAGATTAAAGTAGAGAACAAGCCACGCAGACTGTCATCTATAACAGGTTATCCTGACTCTTTCTCTTTTTATCGTCAATTTTTTAAAGGCAGAGAATGAGAAACTGAGTTCCGAGCTTCATGCATCGGTTGATCAGAACACGCAGATGTATGAGAAAGTGTTAGTGGTAAGTGGAAAACCGTCTTGGAATAAAGAACACTCCATTATGCGAGCTGCCTCGTTCCGGAGGCGTGTTTGGTTCCGCGCAAGGGATCATGGGAATGGCGTCCACCCTTCCCAGCGTCCTATGCACCAAATCATTAATGTTCCCATGGTCCATTGTGCGATACCCCTTGATCGCTCGCAGGCGCGTTTTCTACCAAACACTTGAGACGCCTTATTCTAGGAACGAGGCAACTATGCGAGACTGTCAGAGGGAGTTGAGCCAAATTCTGAAGTCAATCTCCCCTCTGACTGTGGAAAAGAAAGTTTGTGTTAGTGTTTGCGAATAGTTTTATTCTCCCAAAGAAATGAAAGGTTTTTTACCCGTTTAACCTTTCCATTTATTAAAAGTGCCTCATCTTATTGACCAATCAAAATATTGAAAGGCCTTTTATTTTAATTTGTGTTTTTTCTTAACCAACTGTGCGATGCCGGTGTTTCCCTCCCAAAATGTCGCTCAAACTGACAAAGGAAATGGAATGGACTTGATGATAGGATTTGCTGTCCATTGATTAGATATGTTGCGCTGTTGTTATTCTTTCTGTAGGCCGAATTAGCCAGAGATAAGATGAAACGAAAATTTAACGAACTCAAGAATCATTTCAGGTATGACATCAAAGGACGAACGAGCTGTTGGGATCGCTTGCCAATGGACACGTTGCTGAGGAGCAGAGAGCGCAATGGGACCTTGAAAACAAAGAATATTAGCTCTTTGGATGATGTAATCTCTTTGTTTTTCTTGTCCCTCTGCGTCGTTTGCTATCCAGCAAGGTGTTTCTGTCCCAAGTGACTGTTTAGCTGCAAGGAGCCCCTTTCCCTGGGGCCACAAAGCTCTCCCAAACGACTATCTTCATTGTTGGCGTTTAAAAACACACCTATTGTTTTGAAGCTAAGGACATTTTTTGGGTCATTCATGACGCCCCCCAATTTTGTGCAGACTTCCTTGATTTTGAGACCGTCCTAGAAGACTAGAAGCGATTCTGTGACAGCAGCAAACAATTGCTTTGGGTGGCTGTCAAACCTAACTAAACATTCTTATCAAAGGAAGTGTGGTATTCATTGAAACGCGAGGCGGTCGATCCAGGTGAACAGAGTCAGTGAAATTTTCGTTATATACCGTTGATAAATTTATCTACGCTACTCCTTCCCGGAATCGTACCTAAAGCATGAAGGAATCATGAATAGAAGGTCAGATGAGGCACGCGGCTGTCGGCTGTCATTTGACCCTTCCAAAGTATACTTCGCGTGTTTGCATTCACTCGAGATCTTATTCAGCTCATCTCTTTTTTTTAAAAAATGAAATTCTGTCAAGGACTAATAAGCATCTAACACTTGTCCTTCCTCTGCCTCATAGTTCGTTTTGGAATGTGCTAAAATTTGAAATCACATTTTGAAATAAACTTGTAAATCTCAAACGCGCCCACTTCGTCACTGTTGTTCAAGACTTACACGTTCTCTAACTTTATACAAGATATTAATATTGTTTAAATTTTAGTTCTAAAGTGGACACAAGGGACACGACCAATGTTGAAGCTGAAACCGATATAAGCCTTGCCGAGGAGCTGCAAAGTAAACTGCATGAGTTGGAGGTATGTTGTTTGTCGTACTTTGATGTTCAGAGAAAATGTCTTGATTAGTTAAAAAGGAATATGTATGATAATAATGATGTTGATGATGGTGATGAAGTGGACAATGATGATGATGGTGATGATGACGATGATGGTGATGACGATGATGATGATGATGTTGGTGATGATGACGATGATGGTGATGACAATGATGATGTTGGTGATGATGACGATGATGGTGATGACGATGATGATGATGATGTTGGTGATGATGACGATGATGGTGATGACGATGATGATGATGATGTTGGTGATGATGACGATGATGGTGATGAAGTTGACAATGATGATGTTGGTGATGATGACGATGATGGTGATGACGATGATGATGATGATGGTGGTGGTGGTGGTGATGATGATACCTATAAGATAGGATCACACCGACCCCCCGAGTATAACATCCTTAAGTAACCCCGTCTATATCCCCGATATAACGAACGCTTATCCTTGTTTCCTGCCACTTTGTGTTGGAGTTCCTCCGTACCTGTACTGACAAGTGTATCTGAAAACCTAACATAACATATTTTCTGGTTTTTAGGATAGCATTAACTCAACCACTCAACTCGAGGAAGAGGTAAAGAATGAAGAGCAGGTATGCTAAGCGCAAGATTTTCACATGTTTTGTGATCGTCCCATATCTGATGTATTTGTCAATGTTTTCAGTCTAAGTTAATCAGAAAGAAGAACAAAATGTCCATATTTTTTTCATCCTTTGTTTGACTTTTCGGGCGTTTATGGCAAGTTCTGTTTAACAAAAGATTCACCTTGTTTGAATTAACTTTTTAGGATGCCACATGTTCCGCGTCTCCTCCAGCGGAGTGTGACGAGAGTTCTCCATCAGTCGATGCCTCGTTTGTATCCCAACATGCATTACGGCAGGCAGAGCTTGGACGTCAGCTTCAAGAGTTGACTAAAGCGCTGGCCTTGAAAGAGGACTTGGCCAATAAAATGGTAGCAAATGACACGCGTTTGACAAGCATGAGAAAACAATACGAGGTAAAATAGTCGGCTCAAACAACAGAGTCTGATAAAGGGCATCACTGGCCATCCATCACCTGCCCTGAAGACATGTCTTGCTAAAGATTACCTTCATTACATATCTGTATCGTTATCGTTGTTATTGTTAATATGCGTGTGCGGTTTTTCTTGTTTCTGCTGTGTCTTTGTTTTTTCTTTGCTTCCATAATTTAAGTAAGCACATGTAAAAATTTTACAAAATTTTTTTCCAGGAAACTGTACGTGAACTAGAGGGTGAAATTAACAGACTGGAGAAAGAAAAGGCAGATCTAAACGTGGCATTGAACAACGCCAAGACAGAGCACACCGATGGGTGAGTACAGCACTGTCAACTTGCAGTGTAGTCAATAGGAACGTCTCATTTACTCTGATTGATGTTCGTGTGAGGAGTAGCTTAGAAAGATGATCAGTGGTTCAGGTATCAGGTGGACGAGGCAACTTTCTTGCAACGCGAGTGTCTCACAGACAGTTATTTGTTGATTATCTCCTGTATGGAAGAAAGACTCGAACAGTACAAAAAACAAACACTCGGCTAGGATAACCAACGAATCCCCGGTTTCGTGAATGTTTTTTTTTTCATTATTTATTTACAGTATTTTATGTTTTGTGGCCAAATGTAGTTTTGGCTTACCAGCCGTCTGCATTAAATTATAATGATCAAGAGGTGCTCTCTCGGGCTTCAGTAAATTTGACAGCTCTTCCATTGAGACCAGGCCCGCTTTTCGCCAACGTTTCCGTCGTTGCCTGTCGCGTTCCACTAGGGATTCAGTGTGACGGTGCCTCTCGGTTGCCGCCCTCAGGGCTGTCATGGTTACGTTCCGGGTTCACTAATGCCCTCCACAGACTTTTTAAGCACCTTCCTCCTACTCATCCATTGGTGATGGGTTTGTTTGTTGGTTTGTTTATTTATTCTCCTGTTTATTTAGGAAAGTCAAAGAAAGGAATAGAAATCGCATCAAGGAACTAGAAGCCAAGATCTCAGAACTGAAAAAGAAACAGGTTAACAATTGCTACTACTTGTTTCCTTTGTTCTTTTTTTAAGTCATAGTCCTAGAAATCGAGAATCTCCCTGTCACTGTTTTAATAGCCCATTTCTGAGTTTTTCCGGGCCTCTGCTTTAAAACGAGGTTAAGTGCTCAGCCTTTGATATGAAAATGATTTTTCTTTCTCATGCAAATAAAACTCATTTTCACAAGAAAGGTTGTACACTTGGCCTCATTTTGAAAGTGATAGTTTTTGGAACTCGGAAGTGGCCTATTAGATCACATCCTTGAAACTGTACGCTGCTAAAGCCTGGTACTCATATGCCGCCGGCTCTGCCTGGGATACTGTAAGTATCCAATCACCACATCTTTGATAAAAAGAATAGTTGGTTATCTATAAGCATAGCCGAGGATTTGAACTCGGGACTACAGCCAACAAATCCAGCTAGCGGTCATGGCGGGGCGTGAACTCGGGGCCTCCAAATTGCAAGTCCAGCGCTCTAACCCCTCGGCCACGGCTGTAATCCATTTCCAGCTTTCGAAAACTGCAATCGATTTCTTGAGTCGTTTTTTGATTTTATAAGGTTGAACAACAGAAGCTGTTGAAATTAAAGGAACAAAGTGATAACACTATAAAGAAGCTCAATTCTGAAATTCAGGTAAATGAGACTTATTTCACTTTTTATCTTGTTGACTCGAAGTGATTGTCGACTTTATTTTGGTTTTTAAAAGTTTTACCTTTGGGTTGAATTGTGCCACTGAATGTTGCAAAAATCTTCAAAAGAGCTTGGTTCACTACAACTGTTTTTTTTCTTTTTTCAGGGAATGAAATCCATTCGTGTTAAGCTTATGCGTCAAATGAAAGAAGAGTCTGAACGCTTCAGAGCACTAAAGGCGCAGAAAGAGAAGGAGATTTATCAGTTGAAAGAACAAGTTGGTTGCAATTTGATAAGATCTTACATTGTAAATTCCTTACTTTCGCGCGCTTGCACCCAGGATTGCAGGTTTCTTAGTACTGAGACCTGGCGACAAAAACTTGGTAACCAAGCAGCTTTGCAATGGCTTACAATCAAACCGATCCAAATACACAACCCCCTCAAGGGCGCATGTCAGGGTTCCCAGAGATGAAGGAAGTTGGCATGAGTATTTATAAATATAGGGAGCTTAAGCAACGGCGACGGCATCGAGAACGGCAAAAAAGCAGTAGGATTACAACAGCAACAAGTTTATTTCAAATTAAATATAGCTCACAAAGCTTGTGCCCGCAATTAGCGAAGGCTATTCGATGAGATTGAAAAAACAACAACTTTGCACGTGCTCACGCCTTTTTGTACATTTCTTAGCCGTCGTTGCACGGCTACGACGTGAAAGTGCCTAACTTCACGTTTTGTCGAGGACGGGAACACAAGACAACAACTTTCTTTTTGTTTTCTTGAACTTTGATAGAGTCAGAATTCAACTGCACTGAAAAATTTTCCAACATTTGAGGAATTAAACGAGGTGGAATAAGCTCGTTAAAAGTTTGAGGCAGCGCGAATTCACTTTTTAAGTGACATTTTCGCAGCCGTCGCCGTAGTTGTTGCTTAAACTCCGGTTTCACGACCCTGCGGGTTTCAGTTTAACCTTGAAATGAGGTAGGGGCCCGGGCTCCTCCCTTAAATCCGCCACTTCTTTCATCATGGTGGCACATTGGGTTTCAAACTGGTGATCAACTGACGACTGTTTGAAACAGAAAATAGGCCCGTTACTTGTTCCCCTTTTCAACGTTTTTGGTGCAATTGTGGCTACAAGCGGCTTGCTTTGGATAGTCCTCAGAAGTGCGCATAGAAGGAAGAAAAGACTCATAAGATAGCATACCTGGTAGTTGAAACGCCCCTTTTTTGTGTCATAGACTTATATTTGTCGACAATTTTTAGGGCCGCAAAAGGCAGTTCGAGTATAAGAAGTTGGAGTCCATACACGTGAAGCAACAGGCAGTTCTCAAAAGGAAAACTGAAGAGGTATGCAATACATGCTGATCGTTTTGGTTCAGTTTTTATCCACAAACGTCAGGTCGACTTGTGCGTAGTGGTTAGTACCTCGTTTCAGTGAAACTCATCGCTTACCGAAAAAAAAATCCGCCTTTTCTTCAGTCACAACGTACAACCCTGCTGTTGCCTCACCCACAGAACAACTGTACATCTAATCCAGTCTTTAAAAAGAGAAATATACAAAACGCCAACTTTTATCTCCTGGAGCGAAACTGTTTAGCCACGTATCACACTCTACAGGGCTTGAACTTATGTGTTTGGCTTGTTAACACTTTGACTTCAACAGCAGATTGGTTCTCGGATAATATGCATTTGAGCACCAGCCGATATTTGCGAACAATGTGAAAGGAATTTAAACACTCGTTTAAGCAGACGTTAGTGGGGCAGGAATGCGTGACGAACCCCTGAGAACGTCTGCGTGGGAGGCAGGATTCGGTTGGCTCCGTCGGTGCTCACGTTTCCACTGCTAAGCAAAACTCAGGGTAGCGAGGAATTATTGTGAGCAGCTATTTAAACAGCAGAGTTCTTGTGTTTCTAGGTTGTAGCGGTGCAAAAGCGCCTCAAGATGGCACTTGAACGCCAGAAGGTGGCGGCAGAAAAGAAATCTGCCCATCAGCAGCACCAACAAAAACAAGCAGAGGGCCTCATGCCCAGAATGAAGGTAAGAATGTCATCTTGCCTCTAGGCTGCAATCCCATTTTGGCCAAAATACCTTTAAGCCGGTAATGTCAGAATTAAAAAAAACGCCGACAGGTTCATGACGATAAATTCTTTAAGGGTGACCAGAAAGGTAACTTGGGCAATTTTTATAATTTCAGTTCCCTGCGGGCAATATCTAAAAATGTAGTGACCACCAAAAACTGCGAAATTGGTGGGTGGCAAAAACTTCGAAGGATTTCGAGTTTTTTTTTTTTCGAAAAGAGAATTTCTCCGAAACTGTAAACCATATTGGGGATCAGGTATTTAGAGATTACTTATATTACTATACTCTTTGACTGTTCGGAAATGTAATTATTTTCATCTCTTGATCAGAGAATGATATGCGCAGCACAAGATTGGCTTATTAATGTGAGCAATGGTCTTTCTTTTAGTCTTGGTTAAGCCATGAGGTTGAAGTGTTAGTGAGCGTTGGTCAGGCCAGGCGAACACTGGAAACTCTAATTGAAGACAGGAAGTTGTTGTCAAGGCAACTAGCAGAACTAAAACATCAAGAACAGGACGAGAATGATGAGCCAGCGGCAAAGGTATGATGACTGTTGAGTTGATCTCTCCGTCTGCTAATCTGTGTATCTGGTAAACAAGGCTTTACCCTTTCTCAGCAGACTATTTCACCGGCCATCGGCCTTGTTGTCTTACCCTCCTTTCATTTCATTTCTCCCTTGCCCAAGATGGACGTGATCGTGGGAAACTGCGCCAGTCTCTTGAGCGACCAGTTGGTTATTTTTATTACCAGCTAAAAATGGCTTGTTCACGACTGAAGACCATCCTCGAAGAGGCAGCCCCTTCGAGTTCATCCATTAAGTTCTGGAGTTGGGTGTTTTTATTACTACCTTAATTACCAGCTCGCAAATCACTTATCAACGGCTGAAGACTCTCCCGAAGAGGAAGCCCCTTCATGCAATAAAATTCTGGAATTGAATTCCAATACGTTTGAGTCGCTCAGTCTAATGGATGCTACCCTGCCTAGCAAGCGTTTCCGATTGGGTTACTGCGCGAAAGTAGCTGCGACAGCTCTAGTCCTAACTTTCTCGACAAACTCGTGCGGAAACGTTTTCTACACAGGCTAGCATTTACGGTCACGGTTAGTATTCTGTTTTTGTCTTTTTTGTTTCTTTGTTTTTGTTTGTTTGTTTTTTTTAATGGATAACAGTTAATTTTTTCTCCGTTATATGGTTAACAGACATCCGTAGTAGAAAAGAGTTACGGTTGACTTCTAGTTCAACTAACGGTTAAAATTTTTCATTTTTACGGCCGGTTAACGACTGAAGTTTTTTGGCCGTTTTACGTTTTTACTCACGTTTATGCGACGTTGGCTTTTGTAGCTGATTTGGACGATTTTCGTATTTTGTTACCAGATGGTAGTTATAATTAACGAAAAAAAAGTCATAAAAGAAAGAAAAACAGTAGTGGAGAGCGGTCAATGGTACTTTGCTTCTCTTCCTTCGTAAAGAGGAAATCCTGTTGCATTGAGGGATCAAAGGGTGAAGTACAAAAATTGAATCTGTTTTACTTGTGCTTTGCTTGCAGAAAATGGTTCAAGAAGGAGGAACGCCGGGAGAAACGAAAACTAAATCTGTAGAGCGACAAAAGAAAATATCTACTCTTGAAAATGAATTGGAACTGAGGTTTGTTCAGCAAGAATAGTTGTAATACCTGCTCTGTGAGCAAATAAAGATATCTTGAGTTTCCACGATCTAATTTAACAGAAGCAAATAATTAAAGTTCAGCATGGAGGAGACACATAATCAAAATTTCTGCGATGACCTCCACAAAACAATAACGATTGCTTTATTTACAAGGTTTCTGTCGTTTCTACAAATAAAAAGTACCATCGCTTATTACTAGCATCACGAAAGAAAAAATAACCAATTGTGTTGAACTTCTTCGCTAGTAAATGGATACATAAAGGTCAAACTATCTCAAGAACATACGTAGTTGACCCGATTTCACGTAGACTAAGACTTATTGCTCGATTCGAAGTTACTCACCGAGAAAATGTTCCCTGCACAGGAGTTCTCAGATAGCAGGCCTACAGCACAAAATTATCGATGCCGAGCAAGGTAAGTTGAGGGCTTGTTCTTTTATCTTAAACTTTGCATCAATAATAAAGTAGTGCTCTGAAATCTATATCAAAGATTATGACTATCAGCGATGATCGGACTTAGGGCTAATGAAGTTACTTACAAACGATGAGAGGATGGAGATGTTGTGTTTTTTTTTTTTACCTTCAAGTCAGTTTATCGGGTGGATTTTGCGTTCTTTGTTGATGCTTGCGCACGCCACACGACTTTTTATCCCGCAATATTTTGGTCTTGACCCTATTATTCACGGAATCACTCCAGGGTATCACCCAAAGTACGAATATCTACCATATGATCACCAGACGATTGTTGTCGCTCAACGTTTTATAAATTTGTTTGTGCTTAAACCAGCCTACTGAGAAAAAAATCCATGCGTCTTCCGCCGCGCTAGTTGACTGGGAAAGGGCATAGTTTATTCGAGTCTCCACCCTGAAAGTCTTTTTATATTTTTGTAGGAGAAAAGTCTAAACATCGATGGAACAACATCCACACTATGGCGGAAGGAAAAGCAGCTCTTCAAGTTTTACTTAACATGGTAAGTGGAACTCTGTTTCAGAATCGATTCAAAGGGCTGGTGGTTATCTATAGTTAATTAACGCCAACTCAGGAAAGAATGACTAATATGCAGAGCTGCTAATAATACAGTGAAAACTCTATTACGCGGACACCTTTGGGACCTTCCCATGCAAGTGTCCGCTTAACAGAGGTTTGTACAAATTGTGCAATGTCTGTTAACGATTAACACTAAACGGTTACCCTGTACTGTGATAGAGTTCCGTGTTGTTAAGGAAGCTGTGCTGTACTTTGTGCAAGCCTTTTAGGCGAACTTTGATCGATGACAATTATACGGCCGGAAATCGGTCTAATCTACGGTTTTGCTAAATATATTGATTTATCTTTATTAATAGACTACAGCACGTATTTCAAGGACGTACTCCAATAGTGCCGATTGTCAATTCAGTTCGGTGTCCGCCTGATAGAGGTTTTTAAACTATAGAAATTAGCCAAATACAATTTATTTTAGTGTCCACGTCCGCTTAATAGATGTGTCCGCTAAATAGGGGGTCGTTGTAAAGGGGAATATAAGACATTATTGATTAATTTCGGGACCCGGCTTAGTGTCCACTTAGTAGAGGGTCCGCTTAACGGAGGTTTCACTGTACTTGTTTGAAAGGATTATGTCCGGCTAGGTCGCCATTTTGGTCTGACAATATAAAACTGTTGTCGGACTCGAGGAGCTCGCTGCAAAAATGTTTCCTTAATTGGTACGGCAATTCACATGCAAAATGATAGTCTTTGGTATCAACTTAGTCTTGAACTTAGTCTTCCCGTCACGTCCGACCACAGGATATGGGGCAATGTGAGTCGGAA